GCCAATTTATACATACATTAGGTAGGTATACATTAGGTACACATATGCCATCTTAAGCCTGCGACGGCTTAGAATACCCTTCTAGCTGTGCCTTAATCTGGACGGCGACGAGTTTGGAGAAGTATCGGCACAGGGCAAGATTGCCTCCATGAAGCCAGAGGCCGGGGTGACCACTGGGTCGCCACATGACTCTCATCTCACCCTCCTCATCGTAGCCAAACACGTTGGGCACCTTACTAGCGACCTGCTCTCCGAAGATGGCTTCGGTAGCCGTTCTCATGTTCTGGTATCCTGTCGCGCAGACAATTTCGTCTGCTTCCAGCTCAGTTCCGTCGTCGAGCTTCACGCCGCGCGGAAGAACCTCACTGATACCAACGCCGTGCTTCACCTTTACCTTGCCGTCAATGATCAGCTGCGAGGCGCCCACGTCGATGTAGTAGCCCCCGCCGCGCTGCAGATACTTGATCCACAGCCCGCAGTTCATCGGGCCTCGGTCGGTCTTGAAGCCTGCTTTATTGAGACCGTTGAGGACATCCTTATCGACTACTTGTTGGAGCTCGTTGACGTCGGCCTGGACCGCCTTAAAGATCTCACCTGGCGTTCCCCACGAAAGAAGGTCGGCCTCCTCTGTCGGAGGGCCACCCTCGCAGTATGCCGGTTTGAGTAATAGATCCAATGCCGCCTGCACACTCATGACGGTCGTCGACGACCGCTGGATGATGGTCACGTCGTACCCATTCTCGTAGAAATCTTGAGAAATATCGAGCGCCGAGTTGCAAGCACCAATCACAACTGCTTTCCTTCCTTTGGCGTTCTTCTTGGCGCCTTTGAATTCCGATGAATGGCAGAGAACATCGCCCTTGAAGCTTTCCATACCTTTAAAATCCGGTGCATTCTTCTTCCCAGAATGGCCCGTGCTCTGGACAATGTGCTTCGGATGCAGTACACGAACTTCGACGGTCCCGTCCTTCTTCTTCCGCTTGACAACCGCAACCCACTGCTTCTTTTCCTCGTCCCAGCTGCTATACTCAAGACTCGTGTTATTCCACACGTTGAGCTCGAGCTGTTCAGCGTACGACTGTAGAAACTGGGCAAGTTTATCCTTGGGGGTGAATATTGGCCAGAAGTCTGGGAATTTTATGTATGGCATATGGTCGTACCATATCGCGTCGTGCAGGACAAGGTGCTGGTATCGATTCCTCCAGTTGTCGCCAACATTGTCGCACACGTCGATTGCGAGTGTTGGGACATTGATCATCTTTAGTCGGGCATGTAAGGAGAGCCCGGCTTGTCCGCAACCTGATTTATATGAGTTGATATTGCGGGTTATGTTCAGAAGAATAGAAGCTTACCAATTATAAGTACGTCGGGGTCACCGTGCACGAAGTTTATCTCATCTTGCCTTCTTTCGAGCCAGTTTTTTCTCTCCGGGTTGGCGCCATGCGTGACACCATTTGGTCGTAAGGGACCGACCGGCTCTGGGTGGTTGTATAGCTCGTGCATGGTTGTGTAAAGCGTCCAAAATTTCCATTCGCCGTTTTCTTGGAGGAGACGAGCATATCCGGCACCGAAACCATGCTCGGTACCAGACCGTAGGAAGAATTGTATACCGCAGACCGACCCGTCAGCCCGGAAGGGGATTATTTCTGGGCCGTTATTCTTAGCCGGACGCTCCCGGTCGATTTGGATGTCTTTTAAGTGATGGCCCTTGTCCAGGAACGATGCAATCTTGTCTCTCCCCTTCATAGTGCGGAAATCCCAAGTCAAGCCAAGATGATCTCTCCAATAGCTGTTTTCTAGAAAGAGGGTTGCAAGGCCCTTGTGGTCCTTCTTCGAAAGCAACTCGTTGAACGAGTTTATAATCTTGGAAGCCACTGCGAGTGCATCTACGCTCTCGTCTTTGATAGTCGGCGGCCATGGTGCAAGAGGAATATCTACAGAGCCAGGTACTCTACGCTGGCTTGACGGGAGAGAGTCTGGCGTGGTCATGGTGGTAAGCGTTTATAGAATAGGTGAAGTGATAGTGAAGATATCAAATGCTACTTGGTATCATTAAGATGAACCAGAAGAAAACCCCAAGGATTGGGGCTCTAGATATCCCCAGTTTCACGGTTATAGGACCCCGCACGTTCCGGTAGTAACTGGAGGTAAATCTACGAGACGTTGTTCCTATCAACATTCCGCTTCGCACGAAGCTACGGCTCAACGAATCGGGTATGGACTTGCACCGTGGGAGCTGGAGGAGTGCATTCATCACCCCGCATTAAGTGATAGATCATGGTTAAGAGAGGATACTGTTCGCATATAATACCCCGAGAAAAGTCAGGTGGTTTATACTATCGTACCGAAGGAGACTCCGAGGCTCTCGTCACTGCTCGCTGATCCTGGCTAAAGCATACGGGTTTAGCTATGCAATACAACTCATGATCTTATTTATACATTTTATAGTGGCTTATGGATACTGTAGATATTTGATGTTGGTGGCAAAAAGATGTTGTATTGGAAAATATTATAATACTTCACGTTTACTTGGTGGAAATCATATGCCCTCATTATCATTGCTTTTTCCCACAATACCTTTAAATACTATGTTAGAATGTGCTTTACTTTATTGGAGACGGTGGCATAGGATAATTTGGTGAATCGTCTGCGACGTTAACCAAAGACGTACTAAGTTAACTGACTTTAAATGTTCCTATTTTGTACAATACCTACCTACCTAGGTAGGTAATGTGGGATGGGATTACGTAATCCCATCCCACAGTAACTAACCTGACATAATTAGGACTTCGTAGTTAGGACGTTATGTAGGTACTTGCCGGTTCTCGGCCGAAACGAGTCAGTTATGACTCGGGAAGCTGCTAGGCCGTAAGAAAAGAAAAGGGAAAGAAAGCCCTATGTAGGAAAGGCAATCTTAATCTCCATCCCCGAGATCATAGTTAAATCATAGACCCACCAATAAGATCCCACCACTATGCACTTATGTAAGGATACGAGACAGGGGTCATCTAATCCTCGTTTATCTCCTTCAGCCCTTCAGCCCTTCATATTGTAACCAGCGTCTACAATAATACAATTAAATCCCGTTGTCGCTTGTTTTCGCTTATCGCATTGCTTCGCCGTTGTCGCATTCCTAAAGACATCATTCGACTAAGTCCTTACGGCGACAAACGCTATCAATGACGAAACACTCTGGCTCTTCCATGCACCGAGTCCCCTCGTCCGGGGCGGTCGAGCATGGCTATCCGCAAGGACATCTCGGGCACCTTACCGAGCATGAAGAGCAAGCTTTGGTAGAATTCAAAACACTTTTAGAGGAAAAAGGTCTTTATAAGCCGGGCAATCCGCCATCTCATGACGATGCCACGATTCTGTGAGTTTAAGTAAAAAAGAAATCACATTAAATCTGTCAAACACAGTGCTAATGTATTTACGAACCCAGTCGATTCCTTCGAGCGCGCAAGTTCGTTCCAGAAGATGCATATGTGCAATTCAGCGAGACTGAAAGGTTCCGTGACGCAAACCAAGTCGAGGTTCTATACGATACTATAGATATAGATTCGTTTGAGGCGACTAGGAAGCTTGTACGTCATATCTAAGATCCTTGTAAACTTTAAACATTTCTAATCAGATCACTTATCCTTGAGAATAGTACCCTCGATTTACTGGCCGACGTGATAAGCGGTATGCAGCACTTTCTCCTAATAAGAGCTTCGACGCAGGATATCCATGCTGACAATATTTCTAGAGGCATTCCAATTTACGTATTCCAAATCCGACATCTCGATTCACACGCAGTTGCCAAATATGAGAAGTCCACCGAGACGACGTATAGTAGGGCCAAGACGGATGGCAAGACACAGCCTAAGCTGTTACAACTATTCGCGCTGTACGAACATCTGACAAGATTCGTCCAACCTCTGTCGTCCGAGTGTACCGACCGCCCACATCCCGCTACTCCAATCACCCTTAGCACCAACATCGTCGACATTACCCACGTCAGTCTGCGCATGTTCTGGAACTTGAAGGGCCACATGCAGGCTGCCAGTCAGTTAGCCACTGCCCACTACCCTGAGACTCTTGACCGTACGTTTACGAATTTTGTTGTAGGCTATGTAAGAATCGCGGAAGTAACTGATTAAATTCCTAGGTATATTTATTATCGGCGCGCCTATATTCTTCTCGACAGTATGGGGTTGGATTAAACGGTGGTTCGACCCCGTAACTGTTTCCAAGATTTTCATTCTCCAGGACCACGATATATTACCTGTCCTGACGACTTTCATGGACGTAAAGAATATCCCAAAGGTTTATGGAGGCGAGCTCGAATGGGATTTCTTCGACGAGCCGGCTTGGGATGACGAGGTAAAACGGATATGTCAGTTCGAGAACGGTTATACTTCTCTTCCTCAAGGTCCTGTATACTGGCGGCCAATCGACGACGGCAAGCGAGTCGAATGTATCGCCGTAGGTACCAAAAACGGAACTGACCGAAGAGAGCGCGTCTGTACTATCACAAAAGCTTACCCGCCAAAGTCGGCTGAAGATACCCTGGTGTCTGCCACGGGGTCCCAGGCCGGTGACGTTACGGAGGCTGAGTCGTTCGTAGCGCCCACCGAGAAGCCTATTATTAACGATGAAGTCCCGACGGCAAGCATTGCGGCATTGTCAATTACCGAGGCAAAATAGTAAAACTTGACACAATTATATTATAGAAGGAGCTCACGCAGTCATCCATTACCTTGAAGCCGGACCTCCATGTCAAATTCGTAATTCTCGTGGCGGAGGTTGGAGATAAAAATCGATTGAAGATATAAACATACCCAAGTATACATTGCAGAAGGTCTTGGAATACCGACCTATTTTCCACAATACTGTATTGTCTCATTGCCAAGAGTCGTTGGCGCATGCCTTGGTATTTGCGGGAATAGGCGCGCTTTTGTTTTTAGGGAGTTACGCGTGGATCATATATGTACTTCTTCACAAAGCGAAATATAATTATCTTCAACTCCTGACGCCAGCAACCCTCTCTATCTATGTATGCTATATAATCTATATGTAATCTGCCGGTGACCAATGTCTCTAAACGTTGGTTGAAACTACGACTCAAGATGCCGGCTGGACACCTTTTCGCCTCCTCCACTCCTTAATCCCCTCTACGACTTCATTCCACGTAACGCCGTCCCTCACCAGCCACATGGTAACGCCTAGAGACTCCGTATCTCTGTTACGGCTTTCGTCGTCGAAGAATAGCATCTCAGTGTGCGGGATACCCGTCCTCTTGCCCAGCGCCTTGAAATGTTGTATCTTACTACTGGGGTAGATCTCCAGTCCCGCGTCGAAGAACTCTATCGCCTTCCTCACCTTGTCCTTCTTGCTATTGCTCGCCGACACCCCGTCCGCACCACTTTCATCCAGCACGCTGCTCGCGGGCGGTATGTGCAGCAGCTTGAGCATTTCGCGCCCGAGGTCTGGAGCGTGCGTCCGGCTCGCAACGCCGAGCTTGATGCCCGCGCGAGCTAGGCCGTGCAGGACGGAGGGCACGTCGTCGTAGAATGCGAAGGTCTCGCCGACCTTATCGGTGCAGGCGTTGTGCGCGAGGTTGGGCCGGAGCGGCGGGTAGACGTGGGTGTCGACCCAGAAGGGCCATAGCGTATAGTCGAGATCGAAGACGATGGCGCGCGGCAAGGGCTGGCCGTCGGTGAGGATGGATGGCAGGGCAATAGGCGTCGTGCCTGGAAATGTGGGCTGTTTGGCGAGCTTCTTCATGTTCAGAATATTTAATAGAAATTACATATGTATTCCGTATTGTTGGGTACGAGTTCGGGGATTGGAACCGGGTAATGGCATAAAATTGATGTGGATAAGTAAAGCAATGATAGGAATGAAGGTATGACGGTATGACGGTATGACGGGGTCTTGCAACTTTCGTGGCCGGTGAGGCGATAAGATTAGATTAGATGTGAGTGAAAAGTGATGTAAGCAAGTAAGGTACCTTACCTTGGGTAACCTTATGTAGCTTGGCAGTGCGGGCATAGAATTACTACCGATTCCACCCAGGATTCCTTAGAGATTTCCTGCTAAGCCCTAGATCGGAGAGCTTTCGGAGGGGTAACGTCATTGGCCCTTTTTGCCAGCTCCCCAACTTTTGCGATGGATAAACCTAACGCGCCGCTCCTAACATTACATCAGCATTATATGCCTCGCCAGCCTATTTCTAATTCTATAATAAGCAAACCCAAGCTGCGAAATATGCAACTAGTAACACACTTAGAATTCGAAACCATGCAGATACCCCCATAGAAAAACCCCCCCTGAGTCTCAGCCGAGCGGGGATAAGTTTGGATCTCGTACACTAGACCTCCTATAAGTGCATTACGTATCCTAGTTATGTTCATAACTCGGGATCTTCCAGGTGAAGAACCCCACAGGCACTCATCAACTTAGAACTGCCGAACGTGTTCCATGGCAGAAACATCCAACACTCATGCGGGGCCGCGGCTGTGGAGCTGGGCCTGGTTTGGTATAGGTAGGTAACCTATCACGTAGTCCTAGTTGTCTAGACTGTCGCTTCGGACGACGGAAAGCCAAAATGCTCCTCTAATGCCCAGTCTTTAGACTTACACAGCAGCTTAAGGTAGGCACATGTAGGGACATTGATTCGCCGCCATTCCCGTAGACGGACTCCTCCACCCTCCTCCCCGACTTTAACCGTTTCAAGCGAACATGTCAGACGTATATAATGTGCGCTTAGCCGTCATGAATTTTGGGCATGTCCCCTTGTGGCTTCACTTATAACACCAACCAAGAGTCCAACCAAAAGCGAGCTATTAACAGCACTAACCAGCATATCTTTCGACGACAAAACCATAAACTGAAAGAGAAAATATCACGGCTATTCAACATGGCGGCCCCGAGAAAGATACAACTCGTACGCATAGCACACGTGTACTATAAGTACACAGACATGGACAAGGCTATTACTTTCTTGAAAGACTTCGGCTTCACTGAGGAGAAGAGGATATCGGATGACAAGATCTACTGGAGAGGATACGGTACAGAACCGTGGGTGCTTTGCTCTATCAAGGCAGACAAGGCCGAATTTGGCGGCGCGGGTTTCGTCGTCGAATCGGAAGAAGACTTGAAGATCGCATCCGAGACACTACCAAAAGCTACTAAGGTATACGATTTATCGGATGCCCCCGGCGGGGGTAAGGGTGTAACCTTCTATGACCCGGTCGACGGTTTTCCATTTCACCTAGTCTACGGTCAGACTTCTGCTCAGATGCTAGAAATCCCTCTACCACACGAACCCGTCAACTACGTAAGAGTTCCTCAGGTCGGTCTTAGATTCTAATACTAACGATGCCATAGCCTATCGAAAAGAACAGACCTGCAGGCAGGTTCCAGCGATTCGAGAAGCGGCCCGCTCCGGTACACAAGCTTGGTCACTTCGGTGTAAGGTCGACGAACTTCGCAAAGGCTTACAAGTTCTACTGCGATCATTTTAACCTTATAGCCAGCGATGTACGAACCCCTTGTCTTAGTCACGTTTAGGTGACTCGCGGCTAATAGAAACAGCTCATTCACGACGCCGAGAAAATTGACCGGACGGTATTTTACCGGATAGATAGAGGAGACGAACCGGTCGACCATCACGTCTTTTTCTTCGCCGAAGGTACCCCGTACAGAGTGCACCACTCTTCTTTTGAGACGCACGATTTCGACACTCAAGTCCTAGGTCATGACTGGCTGCGAGAGAGGGGTTACAAGAACTGCTGGGGCGTTGGGAGACACGTCCTTGGCAGTCAGATCTTCGACTATTGGTAAGCATCTGCTCACATTTTTTAACCTATGATTTGAAGACCAAACTGACTAGACTAGGTACGACCCGCACGGCTTCATTATGGAGCACTACGTCGACGGCGACTTGGTGACCTCCTCTGAGCCCACGCATCGCTCACAGGCTGGTCCTGGAAGCCTACACGTGTGGGGTGAGTATCTAATTCTAACTTCCAACTATGCGGCATGACAGTGCTAATCGCGATTCAATAGGCCCCGATGTTCCTGGAGATTTCCTGGACTAATTTCAAAATGTATTAACCTAGGGGGTTGTGTTTCAGTCCCGGGCGAGCAAGCGTATATTGATTCCAAGATTGAATATCCGCTTAATTTTAATGTACTTATATCCAAGCTTAGTCGGCGTTGAACTGTGTATTGGGTTACCACTGCAACAACACTTACGAGTCTTGATCGTGATCTACGTAGTTACTATGTAGCTGCTTTTAGTCGTACGATGACGTAGCGAATAATTGCAACATATGAAGCATATATGTTCATACATCGGGATGTGTTGCGGAGTTGAGATGTATCTGGTAAAGAAAGTAGCTAGTATAGGTACGAGTAATTATTAAATCTATACTATCTGTATCAGGTATTTCACAGCTCTCTGCCTTTAGGAAAGCTTTTTTCCTGCATAAATGCTTGAAAGGTCGAATCAAATATTGATTTTCCTAGACATCTCTAAGTAGGGCGCTCTTACATCGAATAAAACGGCGTTCGGGGGTATGTGCCTATGTAAATCCACGGGGTATATGTGAGTTAGATCGCTACGGACGATCTTGTCCCAAGAAACATATCCTGCGTAAAGCCTGCATACCTAGATACCTAATGTAGGTGATACACAATGACTTCTGGTGCGAGCTCCCCGGCACCTATGAGTCATTCCATTTTCGGTATGGAAGCATTGTGTTCTACGTATCATATCAAGTTGAAGCACGCTTTAGGAACGACTAACGTTGTACTAGAAGTATCCTAAGCCTAAAATTTCCCCATTAAATGGACATTAATGTCCAATATCCAAGGCGCAAGACTAGGCTTTTAAGGAGAATACTTGGTATTGGTTCTTTAGGAATTGGGTATGATCGCGGTAGTGCGGATGGTGATCCGCCAACACTGAATAATCACTCTCTTGGCGGGGCCCCTATAGGGAAGCTTTACCGTCAGATCCTAAATCGATATCTTGAAAAAGTTAGACAGGTGGACATTATAATCTGTATTAAAGGGGTATATACTAGTATGTAAGGCCTGAGATAGTTTAATCTCGACCGATATGAACTAGGGTTTAATGAACCACTTTGAGCATCCATTGCTCTGCCAATTGATATATCGTTACCATCATTCTATAACCAATCAATCGTTCACAACCCATCAGCTGCATGAGGTGCGGGTTGTCCCGCTAAATCTAAAGGTCGATAGATATAAGATATCTACTAAGGACCATATGTTGAAAAGAACTTGGGGCTAGATATAAGCCCTGAGAGATCACCACGAATGAGACACAATAGCTCAGAGTCTGAGCGCTATGTTAGCATGCAGACTGATAGCTCCAGCTTAGCGAAAGTGGTCGTTGCCGTCATTACACCCACCTTTAAGATCTAATAACGAGGCAGAACGTATAGTCGTTCGGTTGGTGGAATTCTGGGATTGGTCTTCTATCTTATCCGTAGTATGTAAGACCGGGCGCCTGATCATATGAATCTCCCCCGCATTACTAGTCGGCGCCAGACAGCCTCTTCGTCTTCATCCTGGTCGGCTGAGGTGGCTGGTGTACGATCAACGGGATCGGGGTTCTCGCATAGCTCTAGGAAATCTTCTGCCATACTCTCCCCAGGGGCAAACCCTAGATTTCGTAATGTGTCAAACGGTGTTGAGTCGAGCCTATATGAAGTTAGATTAAAAGAGGTATATATATAAGGAGTCAGTCACTACTACCATCGAGAAGTTTCATCCAAGTGGAGTCCATCAGTTTGCTGTGTTATAGAGAGCGGATTGCTTGGTTCAATGGATTGTGAATGTTGAGAAGGACCCATTGTCATGTTGACACTCGTTTGCCTTTCCGGTACTAAGCGCTCGCTCGTATGCTGCGAGTTCTCCCCGTATTCATCAGTGGAGCCATTCGATCCAAAAGGTGTAGAATCTTGAGGAGCTGCCAAAACTGACGGTGCGCGATCCAAGTTGAAATTCCGAGGTACATCCTCCGAAAAGCCCGTGTTATAACTGTGTATCTGGTTCTGATTAGGGTGGAAAGTCCGTTTTCGAACATCCTCGCTCTGAATATAAATGTCGCCGGGATCTTGAGGAGCGCCCTGAGGGTTTATTGAACTAGGTTGAGGTCCTGAAACAGACGAGACCGATCTATTAGACAGGCTGGGGACATCCCTGGCCATGTCAGGCTGGCGGTGGGAATTTGAGGATTGAGTAAAACCAATCTCATTGCGCACTTTAGAGATGATCGGCGAGACGCGTCGGTCCAGAGGGGGTAGGAACAGGTCAGGGGATTCTCCATTCTGCAGAAATCTACCGAGTCGACTCTCGTTGAATCTATTAACCAATTCCGCCTGGTTGTCGTTGTTCTTATAATAGTCCAGATTAGGAACACCAGTGCCCCCATACGTACCGCCGCGCAGGACCTGCAAAACAACATCCTCCAGTTCGGGCCGTGCCTGAAGGACTATAGCCCACAGACGTTCGCCATTCTGGCTGGTGTACCCACTACGAGGACCCCTTTTGCGCACAGGTCTGTTGTAGGTACACTCGGTGCCTGCGCGCACACAAACGCTGCACTTCGGGACGGCATTGTCGCATGGCTGATGTTGAGAGTTGCAGCGGTCGCAAGCGCGACTAGCCTTGCGCTTTTTCGACGCTCGCTTGCCGTCATCGCTCTCCCCATCACTCATAGCCTCCACCATACGCCCCGAGGTAGACACTGCTAGTTCCAAACCAGCTTCAGGTCACCCTCCTCTCCGTAGAGTAGAGGGTCTCCTTTATTTTCTTTTTCTGCCGAACCGTTAGGGTATGATGGAGACTCGTATGCGCCCTTTTAAGATGACGGCATAAGAGCTCTTATAAGCTAATGAGGCGATATTGAGAGAGCATTGAGAGCATGGGTCAAAAGCGATAAGGAGAGTGAGAAGAAATAAAGAATTGTCGATATATTTATGTTTTGTTGTAATTGTGAAGTGAGAAGTAAAATAGGTAATTATGTACAGCAATCATACAGTGCCTAGGATAGGTACATTGTTATGTTCTACATAGATACCTACCTAACCTAGGTATGTACCTAAGGTATGTAGGTAAGCACCTACATAGGTTAGGTAGATTTTGAGTCGGGACCACCTGCTCACCATCGGCGCGGGGCTATCTCCGGCATAAACCAATCTCAAACCCCGACAACGTTTTTCTTTGTGGCTTCCCCAGGTAGCGTGGCTCTTCAGTGTGGCTAATGGCCTAGGATTTGCCATGTGGTGGAAGCTCAGGACTAACTTTCCGGCTTCTACTACTATTAATGCCGACACCCTTGCCGTTAGTCGACCTGCACTTAAACTCACAAATATGTAAACTTACTCACCTCATGGGCTTAACCCCATTTGTCCTTATTTCAGCAATAGAGATGCTCTCGTACGATTTACTTCGCAAGTGAATTAGACTCAAATTGCAAGAGTTCTTATAGACTTGCAGAATATTTCATTGCCGATGTTACCAGATACTCTCATCGTGTCTGTTTTCATTGAACAGCATTGAAGCTCGCTTTTAGCCTCATATGAAGGAGATACTATTCTGGATTTTCACATATCAACGAAGGGTATATTTTATCGAACGGTATATAGCGACAAGCACGATTGAATCGTGCCCCGGGAGTTTGGAAATCGGGTTGTTAGGATGGCGACAACGGGATCGAATATGATTCTTGATGAACCCATAATCTCTACGTCCAGGACAAAACGCAGAGTATTCCCTACTGATTCCTCGGTCATCCTTGTGGGTTGTCGCGGTGCTGGAAAACGGACGTTGGGGTTTATCGCTGCCAAGTATCTCGGCCGTCGACTCATTACTGAGGATCACTTTTTTGAACAGTCGACAGGGTGTACCAGAGCTACTTTCTTGCAAAGATATGGACGAGAAACGTTTAATCAGCAGATGGCCATCGTGCTTGCACGAATGCTTGAGCTCAACCAGGCCAATTGTGTTATTGAATGCGGCACGGGCACGTTATCGTCTGATATTGAGGAGATCCTGAAGGACTACATTGAAACGAACCCCATCATTTATATCCATCGCGATAAAGAGGATCTATACAAGTTATTAAAGCTCTCAGTGGCAGATGCAGAATACCTACTCTCCACTGACCAGAAACATCGTGATTTCTCTAATTTGGAGTACTTCAACCTTTTTGACCCCAGTGGCGAAGGCCAAGTAACAGAGGACTGCCCCTATCGTTCTGCGTCTACAAGCACTGCAAAGCTTGTAGAGGCGAAACAAGACTTCAAAAACTTTCTTGATCACATCTTTGGCCAAGGTTTGACACGATCATGGATAGCAAATCCATTCTCGATCAAGGCCATACCCCCGGAGTACCGAACTCATACGTTCGTCTTCTGCCTTCGACTGTCGTCTCTAATCAGCATGGATATTGATATAGCTGAATTGGAAGCTCCTGGAGAGGCCGTGGAACTAATAATTGACACCTGGCCAACTAACGTACTCGACCTTATTGCGATGCAAGTAGCCTTAATCCGCCGCAAACTAGACCTTCCAATCATTTACTTCGTCGAAGAGAATCCTCGTGAAGAACGTAAGAGGCCCCCCGAGGAAAGAGATACCATGGACCTCGGATTGATGCTTCATGGGCTTCGACTTGGCGTCGAGTATCTAAGTCTTGATCTCCAGAGAAGTCCAGGACTAATCTCTCACATTCTCGCCATGCGAGGCAGAACAAAAATCATCGGAAATTACGTTATGAAAGGATTTGGCGCTCCAAAGTGGAATGACGATTCCTTCGTCGAACGTTATTTGCTTGCTCAACAATTTGGGTGTCAGATCGTTCGCATGGCCCGGTTCTGTTCTGTGGACAGAGACGATGAACTCCGGCAAATCTTCATCGATAAAATCAATGCCTTACCGGATCCTAAACCTTGCCTAATCGCCTACGACTTTTCGGTGTTCGGCGTTGTGCTGCCTTTCCAGGGAGACATCCTGAATCCAATCGGACATGATTCTCTCGAGAAGTCCTCGCGGGAACAGATGATTGGCGTAAGTACGACACGGGGTACACTACGGGACCTTTTTCGAAAAGGAATTTTACAGCCACTCAATTTCTACACTTTGGGATTGAATGTTTATTATTCGGCATCGCCCTCGATGCACCGCGCAGCGTATGAGCACTACATGATGCCACACACTTTTAACGCTAGACGCTGCACTTCGCTTGAAGAAGTCGACCGGATTCGACGCGAGCCCGGCTTTGGCGGCGCCTCGTTAGCAGCACCCTTCAAAGTTGCTATCATGCCACGCCTTGACCATCTCAGCACCCACGCTATCGCAATCGGCGCGGTTAATACGCTTTTACCATTACGTGGGGATACTGACTCAATTTTAGACCATGCTAATGCTCGAAATAGAGCTGGCTATGCTAATAGGTTTTATGGGGACAATACGGATTGGAGTGCAATCATGACTTGCATACGTAGAGCCATCAGTCCTCGAAACTCAGTACAACCGTCTCGGACGACGGCTCTAGTGATAGGAGCGGGTGGAATGGCTCGAGCAGCTATCTATGCTCTGATCAAATTGGGCTGTCGGATGATATTCATTCATAATAGGACAAGGATAAAAGCAGAAGAAGTTGCGATGCATTTCAATATGTACGCAATAGAGCAGAGACTTCTGTCCCGCCAGAACGAGGGTGAGAAGATTTGCCGGGTCATAGTGTCAGCCAGTGATCCGTGGCCAAAGCAATACCAGCAGCCAACAATGGTCGTATCCTGCATTCCAGCATCGGGCACAGATGACAATCCACCGGTAGACTTCAGAATGCCTTCGCAATGGTTAAGAAGCCCTACTGGTGGTGTAGTGATTGAGGTAACAACCATTCTACTACTCATCGCTTGGCTTTCTACATTCTAACCTAAATGTTGCACACAGTTAGCGTATGAACCCTTGATAACGCCACTAGTAGTTCAGGTTCGTAAGATTCGCGAAGAAGGGAACACCTCGTGGGTGATTATTGATGGCTTAGAGGTTGTGGGGGAAATGGCCATGGAGGCTTTCGAACTGATGACTGGCCGTCAAGCACCGAGAAGACTGATGCGAAGAGTTTGCAATGAGAACTGGGAGAAAACAAGCGCGCCGTTCCAACCGCAACGGTAGCACGTGTTACGGCATTGATATTGTGGAGGTTTCATCTCTACCTATTACCAAATCCAAGCCGAACAATCTAAAAGGGGCGATGCAACGGATAAATCGTCGTGATCAAGATCACGCAAATCCTGCGAGCGATACCCAGTCGTCGGCGAGTTTTCAGTCTCGTGACTATTTCATCTATGCAGGATTATTGGCACGACCTTTTATGTGTTAGATGTTTGGTGTTTTGCCCTCCACGTAGGGAAATGGCGATACTCCATTACTACCTCATATTAAGATGTTAGCGGAGTGCTGGATTGTCCCACCGTTATTACCTACCTAGGTACCTACCTACTAAGCATTTAAGTACCGGGGGGAGAGACATTAGTGTGAGCAAACCCCTCGAAAATTACTCTTGGCTACCGGAACGAACATGCAATTCACGTCATGTCCTCTTGCTTCATAGCAGCTAAAATACAATATGTACATATATGATCAAATTATACCCCTTGTATTAGGTACTATCATTCCTATTGCCATCCCTCGGCGCCTTCTGTGCTCTTTCCACGCTCAACGTAGATGGCGTTGGGTAGCTCGGTCATTTTTATTTATGGGGCGTGAGTGAAGTTGGAATTAAGATGTGAATTGATCTTGTGTTTTGGATGCATGAGATAATTATCGAGTCTGCTACTAAGTCTTTTGCTCAATTGGAAATTTTCGCTCGATAGTGATGATTGCCTTAAACCCAGCCTTCAAGCGGTCCATGCGTTGTCTTTCAACCCATTTAAGAAGCCTCATAACGTTAAACTGTGATCGGCAATATCGTATAAAAGTGTCTTACAACAGACCAGGGAACTCCGTTATACAAGGTATATAATTTATAGAATTGGCCTTAAACCTATTTATTATCATATAATGAAATTGGTTGAAATGGGTTGAAATGGGTTGAAAACTTCACATGATTATCTTATTAAGTTTCCCTTATAAACGATTTGTCAACCGTATGTAAGTCCTAGTCATTGGTCTTCGAAGCTTACTAGGTTAGAGATAAGTTATACGATATAGATTATGAACTAATAAGAGAATAAGTCTACAGGCATTAGTTACCACCATATAGTTCGTAATACATCTTAGAATAATCTTTTATATTATGTGCGGAAATAGAAGGAGCTTGTTTTGCTTTCTTCTCCTATGAGGTAGTTACCAAGGTAAGCCAAGTAGCATACCCCTCCAGCAACCTAATGCCAAAGAGTCACACGAGAGAAGATCCTGACCCACTGTATAGTCCTAAGACATGTCGAAGTCTTTAGGATACACGTGTACGACTCAGGTAAAGACCTAGGTAGTGCCTAGTTCTTGAATAAAGCTCCTCACTGTTTGCCTAGTAGTGTCCCAGGACGGAGATTTCAGGAGTCTTGAAAATACTCCAGTCTTCCGAAACAGTCGGGTCTCCGAACGGCCTGAGTGTAGCAAATCGCCACCTACAAAAGGGTCAATCGGTGAGTTATTTGACCAACTTCATGGGTCTCGCCAGCGTAGAGTCACTTACGTGTAGTTGCCATTTGCAATCTGACTACCGTTACCAAGCTTTCCAAACCACGTATGATCCCACCCTCCACGCAGAGTATCGGTGCGAGGGTAGGTAAAGGTGTCGTTTGGGTCGTTAAACCGGTCGTCGAAGAATCCACCTTCGCCGTTCCAAGATGCGGCGGGTCCGATGTAGCCATTCTCTCCCTCAACGGGTGGATAAGACCACAGGCTCTCATTCCAGCCGGCTTCGTATATCTAGCACGTAGTTAGGATACCTAATAATAACCATACTACAAGCAGGGTGGCAACTTACATCCCAGCGAACCTGCTTGCTGCCCCATGTGACCTGGGTATATATCTTTGGGAAATCCTGGGAAAATCGACTGACGTTGAACGTGTAGCTATTCGTACCTGTTAGTAACGCGGTAATAAATCTATAACGATGTCATCGTACTATGGTTTATCTTTTATATCCTCATAGGAGGCCCCGGATTTCGAGAAGGGGTACCCTGGATAATAGACGGAACCTAATTCAGCTTTTAGGTCGGCACCGAGTCCTAGAAACAAGTCAGTATTATCACCCCCTATATCTACCTAAGTACACGCTAACTCACCCAAGTACGGGAAAGAAAGCTGTTCTCCAGCGCTTGATAATAGTATGACCTTCCCACTGAACAGAGGGAAACCAGAGGAGTTCCAGCCCGAACCCTCGGGATTAACGAAGTTGACGCTGCATAGGTATATATCAGTCACATTACTCGCAAAATTCAGGGGTAAGGTGAGCTCACGCAACTGTTTTGCTCTCGCCGGCTTTGAGGGTGAAATCTTCAGGTAGGCGAACATCGACAGTAAGGTCTATAGGCTCCAACTCATCGAATTGCTTCACTCTCCTTGATCCATCATCAGGAAACCAACCGACAACCTCAATACCACCAGCACTCTCCGTGGTAAAGCTGTAGCTAATGTCGCGGGCGCCATGATTTGTCACGGTAACCGGGTGGGATTCTTTGAAATTCGCAGTGTCGTTCAGGTTGAATTTCTCGTACTCGACATCCGTGCTGTAGTTTACAACCTTGAAGGCGTTAACTAACCCGTTGCCGACCTGCGCAACACTGGCAGTAAAGCCATAGTCTTTATCCGAACCGTCAAACCAAGGTACAGCTGCTCCACTGGAGATGATTTTCCTACGGAGACTGTGCGCAAAGCCTTTACCGTGGACACTACGACCACCGAAAGCACCGATGTAAAGAGCCGCGATACCAGCAACATACGGGGTCGCCATTGATGTCCCGCTCATAATTGCGTACTCGCCATCGAGGTAAGTACTAAATATATTACCACCAGGTGCAGCAATATCCGGCTTAAGATCCAGGTCAAAAGAGGGTCCCCATTGCGTAAAGATGTTAGGCTTGTTGGCAGAGGGGTTTGCGTAGCCAATTGGGTTCTCTGGGTTTACAGAGAAATCTGCCGTCACGGTACCGTTATTCTTAACAGTGTCGATAATAGCTTCTCCAATTCCTGCAATGACTAATGCGATGAGTGTCTCATCGTCGGTCGTTCCCGGTTGGATCAAGGGGCTCTCGTTGTTGTAAAATAGCATATATTCCGCCCCCAGAGCAGCCAGATGGCCTTGTTTGATAGCGAACGCACAAGTACCACGTCTTACAATTGGTATCTTACCCGTCAGGTTTTGAGTACCTTCGGGGTAGGGCTCGCATGCTTCTGCAGGGTCGGATGTATTGAAAGAGAGCGGTACAATAGGCCATCCTACCACGTTAGATGGGAAGTAGAAAGTCGAAGGGAGGTAGCCGAGAGTGGTAGTATTGGTAACTCCGTCTATCGTGAAGTTGGCTCCGAAGGGGAATTCAGGGAATACCTCCGTCTCGACCGAGGCAACTGCAATGACATTGGTGCCGGATGAACCGGTGCTTCCATAGAAGGGGCCTTGGTCTCCAGAGTTTCCAGCTGCGATTGTGACAAGAATACCTTCATCTACGAGACGAGAGGCTACCTCAGCCCAGGCATGAGTTGACCAGCCACCAGGAGAACCAATGCTGGCGGTTACGATATCGACCTCGTCATCGTATGCTCGTAAAAATGCATCGATTAGTGTGGCGGTGTCGGTATAGTCCTAGAGTCCTATAAGTTAATTTCACATCTGCCATTATATGTACCGATTTTTAAGACTTACAGTTCCGGGAAACACCTTGTAGGAATACAGGGTCGCTTCAGGGGCAACACCAGTCCACCTAGATGAGTGTAAGACTAATGCCCGGTATCCTCTACATGGTAGCTATCTGTAAAGGACAAGAAGTACTCACGAATCGGCCTTTGCTGCGACAATTCCAGCGACATGAGTTCCGTGGCCAAAGACGTCAAGAGGATCGTCGTCAGGTTGCTTCTCCTCGCTAGGCCAATCTATATTCTACGTCAATTTTGCGGTTAACGGATACTCCGGGTACTTCAATTCTTACTGCCATCGCCGACAAAGTCATATCCACCGGCTACTTTGAAGCCAGGGCCAAAACCACCACCGAGCTAATCAATTATTAGCCGCGAACGGACTTAGGCTTGAGTGGATGGAAACTATTAACTTACAGCTGTGTGGTTATACCTTAGTCAAGTAGTCAGTATTACTCCCAAGTGAGATCCAGGAGCCAAGACGTCATGCAAGGCTCTCCCACAGACTTGTAGTATATCTATTATAAAGGAAATAAGGAGCAAATAATTACCACGTTCCAGAATCAACAATTCCAACCTTTACACCTTTGCCATAGATACCGGCTTCGTGTAGCTTGCTAACCCCAGTGACGTTGTGAGTAGTATAGTTCAAGTTGGCTGGAACACCATCGAGGACTTTTGGCTCGGCTGGGTTTAAATAGACTCTCTCGTTCGGCCAGACGCGCAGCACGCCAGGCATCCCCTCGAGTTTATTGATGCTGTAAGAGTCGGTTTCGATGCTGGCACCGGAGAAGACTGGACTATTGAAAGATTTGACAATCTTGATGCCTTCAGCGGAAGCAAGCCCATCTCGTCTATTTGCTTGACCCTTGAAGCATAACAGTTAGTTTGGAGAGCTGCAGGTATATAGTATGATGGGATAACCTACAGGTGCATATTCGACGATGAAGCTCTTTGAGATCGGAGCGGCATTCGTAGTGTTATCAGCCCTACGGTTCAGAGCGGCGGCACCCCCGGAGAGGGCCAAAGCAAGGCTTAGGAAACGCATATCCGGTCTCAGTCACGGCGTACGAGGAGATCACTAAACTAGATCTCTCACATAGTAGGCCACGCGACCATAATATCGTTTATATGTAATTACAGCTCTATTCGCGACCTACTATACCGAGTCTAGAATCACACTCTTCTATGTAACCACAATTTATAATACGAGGTTTGGATTCCGGGTATCTATAATGCCTAGTGCAATGGGACGATGTTACTGAAGACCAGGGCTTAAAGACGGAAAAGGTCTGCATAGAAGGTCAACTACCAATTTGAGCGTGCCAAGACGTGACGTTGCGTTAATGCAGGGGTTGATCTCGTCAAAGCTCGTGTAATGATAATCCACTATGTGGCATATTCGAGAAAAGTAATTCGTTGCTACATAGGCTCATCGAGAGTTTTGTTGGCAATCAAGACTATATTTACGAGAGCCTGAATGCCATTAAGAAAGAGGGATATCCTAAGGAAGAGGATACGAGGATTGGTCTGAGTCTGGTATGTTTACTACCCGGGTCTAAATTACATTGCGAACTTAATTATCCGACGACGCTGCCTATAGAGATCCCGTACATGGGTAGAATTATATGTAAACTAATTACACGAAGATGTAGATCTTTGTGTAATGCGCCATGGTGGTATAAAGGCTCTCCGATTTGATTTTCTTATGCCTTATGCGTCGGTTGAATAGTTTCTTCAGCCATAATAAGCTTCCATTGACAGTAAAATGAATATATTTTACTTTTCGAAAACATTGCTCTTATGGATGCGTACCTATCTTTGAGGGCTGGGATTTCTTTTTATGTATAGTTGATCCTTATAGATTTAAAGCTCTGGTTTTGGTGAAACTCCCGCATTGTCCCGTAGTCTAACGGCTTCCGTGAGCCAGTAGCTGCATTCTTTTTCAAAGTCACTATGCTGGATTCCCGGCAAGAGATACAGATACCCAAGGACGATATTTCCGCAGAACCACACTGCAGTCCGGGTCAGAGGATGTAAACAACGATTCTCCTGTCCCCAAATATACACCCAGGTGTAGAGGATTCTGATTGCAAGGTAGAGAAGTGAGAGTAAATTGCGAGTCTCAAGATCCAGCTGCCCTACATTTGCAGCGAGAACTGCAACAGCGAACAGCGGTAGATTTTCGAATGCGTTATTCAAAGCATATTCGGAACGCTCTATGCGCGCGGCAGTCTGCAGTATCATTAGCATCGAATGCAAGCAGCTGTCATCAGCTATAGAGAATCACAGTCTCTACAATTGGCGATACGTACCACGTTGTTTAGTGCTGTCGACTTTCTAACGGATTGTACAAATCTGCGAGGATTCTTAGGGTCGTAAACTCCGCTTCCAGATCCAAGGATCCCAAAGTATATCCGTGGAAACAAAGCTAGGACAAAGGCAAACGGAACCTTTTTTCTATGTCAGTTTATTATATTTTATCATTATGGGTGGCAGTTACGCACCGTCCACCACGAAATATTATTCTCTTTGAGATAATCCATGCTAATTTACTGCTGTTATAGCTGGAGTATACTCAAAATTGGCGTATGCAATATTAGATCGGGAGTAGAGCTAAGAGATGCTAATCTAGAAACCCACTGAAGTAGATAGCTTGAAGTTAACTATATATAATAGTACCTACAGTCCCTGATCATATAAGGAGGTTGAGAAACGACTATATATTAAGGAGTAGAAATAGATAAGAGCTCGATAGCTCAAACCGGACATCTTCACTAAATGGCATTGCTGAATGCGGCATAAGAATTGTCGATGAGGCTATAGCTTTGTCGTCATTTAGACAAAGGGGATGGCATAATGACTGAGTAAGTCTGATAGCTTCTGGTCATAATGTATACTTCAATCTATTGTTACCTGCTATAAATTGCGTTCAGAAGATGCAACTACCCACACGAGACGAGGCGAATACAAGAGGGGGGACAAGGGGGCCTCTTAGAACCTATCCACAAGACAATAGGAATCAAATAAATACCAGCATAGATAAGAGCATAAACTCGACGCTTACTAAGCAAACACTGATTTTGACTTGATCTCATACCGGACGATTAGGTGAGGAGAAGCATAGCTTTTTTGTAGCAACCTTCAACTTCCAACGCTTATATTAGGTCCGCTTATAGTGTATATCCTAAGGGATATCATGAGCTTTGGATGCCTTAACAAATCTTAAAACGCCTAACTATCTCCTAATAGTTAATAGTTAATAGGTAGTCAATAAATAAGAGGAAAAAATAACTCTGCCTTGAATCAAAGAGTCAACTGGCGCCAGTTAAACGACGACACCGTACTTAGCAGTCGTCAGGAATCTAATACCGAGCGGTAAATCAGTACTATTATCAACCATGACGCACATATCCCGTAATAGTCGCATTAATACCACGTTGTCGTTAACAAATATAAGAACGAAACTATTTAGTCTGCTTCTGTTGGGAATGACGCACCTGGCGCTGCGCGATTCACGATTCCTGCTAGGCGACGAGGGGTTTAACCTCCTATAATCTATTTGGGTCCTGGGGAAGATGTCTTCGTAACTTCATCAGCCGTAATCACGTATCCTTAGGTACCTCCTACCTAAGCCACAAACAATCCTTAGTGTCACTGGACTTTATTAGTCCTGTCAGCTCAAATCAGAATATCAATCATATGACCCTAAGTTGAATGAGTAGGATCCCGAAAATGAGGTCAACACACCTCGTCCACGGGACTCGGCTAGTTTGATTATGTCATCTTGATTCAATCGTTAAGCGCTATCAATGACGCTGTCCCTCTGTCCCTGTGTCCCTATACCCCACTAAGGCCTGCCTTATCGGCCTTAGCAAGCTACTGTAGCTTGTCGGCAGCTCTCCGAACGGCCGCGTCTCCCCGAACTACCTAACCTACCTAACCTAGGTACTTACATTTCACCCTTCATTTCGTTGGTACGCTTCATCTCCATTTAGCTTCATTGCATACATGGTGTTCTTTTATTCTTTGCCAATTATATCGTCTTGATTGAGAATTCTTAGAATTGCAGTTTATTCAACGAATGTGCCAAGCGGGGTACATTTTGACTACATGTAGCCATCTACGTGTGATCACAAGCAGCCGTCGGGATATCAAGTATTATCAGTGAGCAGACTAACACGTCGAGATCGGACGAAACTTGAACCGGAATTAAATCATAAACGTTGAAATGAGTATCTCGATAGTAAATCCGTGACACAGACGAGCTGCGACATGATCTGAATACGGACATACCGAGCTATATGTGTACACGCAGCATCGCGAAGCCGCAATTCATCTCCCTATACACCTCCCCCCCTTATCACCCGCAGAGACAGGCACATGGGCTTTCTGATTTGCCCATGTTGTCTTATCGCAAAGCCATGCAGGACCGGACATGTGGAGGCGGGGCCAGACTTACATAGCGCATACATACATAGCAAAGTCAATTTGCCGATCTCTCAAGACATACGTGAGCAGAGTAAGTGAGGGTAAAAAGTGAGACGCTGCATCCTGCATGATAGGCAGATTGCCTCGCAGGCAACAAATACCATGCATCCGAAAAACGGGACAGCAATAAAAGGGGTACACTATTGTTGCGCACACCATCGGGAATCGTCGTCTCCTTGGACTAAGGAACGTGATATGTCTCGAGTCCATCGACTGGAGCGAACTAGCGTTTGGACGTGGTTATACAAAAGACAGGCCGATTAGCGAATGGCATGGCAGAACTAGAAGCACGAGCTGAAGGTGAAGCAAGGCCGAGCTTTGTATAAGGTACTGCCTAGTACAGCCCGGTAAGGTACCTAGATGTTAGATACTGAGAGATCCTCCAGAACCTCTTGGAACAGGTCGATTTCGAATAGCCGCCTAGATTCGTCACACACTCAGATGTGAACAAGAAGTTCTTCGATCAATCAGATCCGTCCTTAGCAAAACGCCGGGAGGTCACCAGCTCGCTCTAATAATAGGTAGGTACCTAATGTAGTTCGTAGAAGGTACCTACCAAGGTAATCTAGAAATTGCTGATACGCGATCGGAGGTTTAGGAACGGTACCTAGGTACCTAAGTACCTTATTTGTCACACGCGCACTCAGCCCATGAAAGGGCCATGTAATAATGAATAAGGCTCCCATCCTCGACTTCCCATGCCTTCAAAGCAGCCAACAGATGAACAAGAAAGATCCGGATAGATGTAGTAAAGCTGATAATTAGGTCGTAACCTAACCTATGTTGTAACCTAGGTTAGGTAGTAACTTAATACCTACCTAGTGTACCTCTGTATAAATTGCAAACCACGCGCTAAGTCCAACTAAGACCACGATAAGGAGCTGGAAATGGCTGAGAAGGTACCTACATGAAGTATCCTCCTTAATAAACCTCATAATTCCCTCTCTCATTTAATGATTCACGTCTTTTCTTCTCCCTTGCTCTCAGTAGACCTCTCAACTTCCCCGGAAATTCCGAACTCGATATTAGATTTGTTCTGTTTCGATTTTGCATCGTCCAGACTCGTTGTTTGTCTTATCTATACTTGATAAGTACTTCGCTCCACGCTGCGTCATCGTTCCCATCGACATAGGCTAAGCAAGTCTGTTGGTATCGATAACGATAACGACTAACCCGCAATCGCAACTGAGCCATCGCATCATTATCGCGGTGTACCCCTTTGGCCGTAGCCCCCTTATCCTGACTGAGTCACCCGGCCTTTGTCTTGCTCGAGCCTTTCCCGACTCTGATACCACAAGAAACGAATAAGCCACGCTTTCCCGTCACTTGAACGGCAACCCACCTGCTTACCTTCCTCCTGTGCTTCTTTCACCACTGTACCGTCATACCGAGACAAAGCAATTCCCAAACTCGCAAACAGCGAAACCAACAAGAAACACAAGACCTACCACCATCTTACCTAATCGTCATCCGTCCGTCGTGACTCAGTCATCTCCCAGGTTTCTTGTCTTCTAGAAAGCACCAAGCCATCCATTCTCTTGACATACATCCATCCTGCTCTTGAACCTACGAATAGCCATTCTTCTATTATCCAATATCCATCCTTCACCAAATACCATTCGTCCCTGTATCATCGCTTTCGCCTTAAATCTATAATCCTCGCAAGCCGACACCGTCGTCAACCCTTAAATACCAAGTTCTTTCTCTTTCAAGACGCTCTTAATAAACCATCTTCCTCGGGGATAGACCTACTCTAGACGGTAGCCTATATCCTATCACAAGCAGCTTTATAATATACCAATCGTTGTTGACTATCGTATCCGCACGATCAAATCGCCTTCCATTATGGCTTTCGACCAATCCCGAGACCTCCGAAGCTTTGCTCAGGACTCGAAGCGGTTCAAGGAGCGCGTAGAAAAGTGGTCGCGGGGATCTCGACCCTCGGCTGGGTGCAAGTACAGCTGGGTAGAAGATGCAATCATCACAGGGAGCAAAACCCAACGTGAGAAACTTCGGCCTGAGGGAACTCTCCAGTAAGTCATAACCAGTAATCGTGTATCATGCGCCCTATAATCCAATATTAACAAATCAGCCACTCCAACCGCATAGCAAGCCAGAACATCGTCAAACCGCGTGATAAGGAACGATACGAGCTCCGATCGAGCTACTCGCGTGCCAAGATAGACGCATTAGAAGAACTACACGACCCATCCAATGTCTCGCGATCCCTCTATGATCTCTTGCCGTCATATCAGACCCGACGAGGCTCTAGTATTTCGGATAACGTCCTTTATAGCTTCGATAGGGTTGAGAGTCCGGGCAAACCGCTAACGCTGGACGTATTTGTGAAGACCAACCCGAAGGAGACGGAAAAATTCGTGGAAAAGGAGTACGAAATCCTTGACAACAATGGGGATGCTCTCAGGGGTCGAAAAGCCCGGCAGAATCTCCGTCGGAGGAACCACACACCAGCGGCACAGGAATCTGACATTATTGAGGACGACGGCTTCGAACTTGTATAAAGGATATCTCAACTCGCTTCTCGGTCGTATAGCCAGCTTCGTGGTGCTTTGACTGCATCCATTATTCTTTTTCTCGGCATGGCTTGTTGTGCTTCTTCATTTGCATTCCACCTACTCTCAATTTGGGACACAGTACCGTGCAGCGCCTTTGTGCCGTATGGTGGAAGGCTTCTTGGTAATACTCGATACGACCGATACGATTCTCTTCTTTTCTCTCGCAAGAGCTGTTGCATTAGACTTCTAATATGGCTTCGTTGTTGCCCAAGCATGCATATTCAGATGGCAACGGACCATTGTTTCATGCATATCCTACCTATGCATTCATTAGGCGGTGTTGAGCTTAACTCTAACTATCGGATGTGATGGTCGGAGGAGGATGGCTCGGTGCATTGTATATTCTTTTTTTTTCGATTCGGGAAATGGATGGACCAGCTCGTAGAATTATCGTGCGAAAGGACGTCCAAGTGGCAGAATGGCTTGTCTCTCTTCATGCGCGGAGTATAATGCGTTGTGTGAGATATCATTTTTAATAGCAATATATGCCGCTTTCATTTCCTTGACTTTAGACCTTTGAATGATGTTCGAAATCTATAAGTCGAATTTTTGCGCGAGGGTGCAGTGTGCTTATTGCGGTGACAATATTTTGAGAGAATTATTAAAATTGTGTGTATGTGATTGTGGTCCATGAGGTCCGTGCGATATTACATAAGGTAAGGGACCTTAGATATGTAAAGCACGTGCTATGCTACAATATCCGATCCGACTTGCACGTCCACTACCTCTTTCCTACATACATGTAGGTACCTACCTAGGTAGGTACCTAACCTTAGGTAGATACATCACCTATATCTCAATAGAAGGCAGGTGCAGGTATTTCTAATTAATAAAAACAACCTTACATTGCTTTCAATCGGTCTCTGTGTATGGCTTCCATCTAAGTGAGCTTTTTCAAGCAACGCCATTCTCCACTCATCATGCTCCAACAGTTTTGCTTAGTGGCGCCTCATGCCCGAAAATATATACATCTTAGAGCCCGTCTTGAACGGGTATTTTTTAAAAATGTATCGATCGGAGACCTCGTCTATCTCGTTGCCGTGCCGCTCAAGTCACACCAGCGTAGATTCACCTCTCCGGTTTACACCTCCCAACATATCAATATGAACAATTCTCTTGAAGGGATATTTGGGCTGCCTTGTGAAATCCAACTCAAAATATTTGCCGAACTTGATGATGATAGAGATTGTATTGCATTTGGCCTTACCTGCGCATATTTCTGGGGTCTCGCACTTCCGGTCCTCCATGATAAATGGGCGGCAAATTTGGGTTCTTGGGCAGGAGAGAAAATTGTCTGCGTTGGAGATTGGGTCAAGGCTGAAGATTACCCCCCTGGACTTTTCTCAGATGCTGAGATTCTCTTCTTCGATCAGCCTGAAATAAGAAGTGCCCTTGGTATTTATTCTTTGTCAGCCAGCGAACCTAACCCTGTAACATTATACGGCTTCAGCTCTCGTGTCATGGGCTGCAAGCAAGTCCTTGGTACTATATGGAAGAACGCAAGAAGAGAAATACTTCTCATGAGATGCTCCATGGGTTTGGCCAAACACAGCTTAGGGTTTAACACTGCGAAAAAACATGATTTCAACACAGCGACAAAACATGATTTGAAGAACTTCGAAGAGCATTGTTTCTATCCACGGGATCAACCGTGGATCCTCCGTAACTTAACGACCAAGGAGTTTATTCGGTCCGAGGCTGTCGCTCTGAAGCTAGAGTTCATACAGGGGCCAAGAATCAAAGGTATAGGCTTCGCACATGTTATCTTGTCTCGCATCTGCTGGTCATCGGTGTCAAATGACGATATAGGAGACCCAACGAAATTCACAAGAGGGGTTTGGGCAGGACATCGTTTTGATATCACGCAGCTCTCAAGACATATCGAGACGACTCGGGGAGAAACGTGGATCGATATAAGCAGCGAAGTCATGGATGATATGTCTCGCATCTGGGAGCGCAAGTATGGACCTGATTGGCGAGAGCGCATTATCGAGAGCGTGTTATTGAGAGAGCGTTATCGAGCGCGTAGACCGGCAAACGATTATTTGGGACCTATGATCAGAAATCTTTCAGTTGCGAGTTGCTAGGCTCCTATAGATTGTGTTGGATTCCTTAGCAAAATCATCTTTTGCTGTATCGGTTTCATATAGATCAGGGACCTAAATTCAATGAGCGACTCCCTCCCTACAAATATCTATTTCCCAGGCTTGAGGAGGATTTCAGGAAGGCCAAAATGAACGCAAGTAGGATTAAACGCTCAGTAAATCACCACGATAGAATGTGGCCATGGTAAGTAGTACTGCCCGGTCTTTTAATCATAGTGAAAAGAGTCTACTGACATAACATGTACACATTTCAGTTTTTACCACGCACAACCTCAACCATTAAGTCATCAGGTCAGACAGGCTCATCCCCGCCATTCCCACGCGTGCTTATATGGTATCCTAGATCGACAGCTCCATCAGCAAACTGTGCGATGGGCTTAACTTGGACGAATGTAGCCCCTATATTCTTCGCTTCCCGCTCTTGAAAAAAAGGCAGGGTTAAAAAGAACCTGAGAACCGTGTTTATATAGCAACATTAGTATTGCTGGTAGTAAGTGTGACATTGCATGGCAATGGCGGAATACTGGTGACTCATGTCTCTTCCATACTTCGTTCCATGTCTTGTCGTCGAAGGTCCCGACAGAACGGACTAGCCATTGGGAGTAATAGTTAAGTGCTACCTGATAGAGGAGAGAAGTGGTAAGCAGCAAGAACGTAGCCGGGAGAAAGAAAAAAGGGAGTGAAAGAATCAACTTACGTCGACACCATAACTACCTCCATGTTCAGCCCGTCGAACGAGGGCTTCTAAAACAGTGGTACTCTCCCACAGATACCGGCACTATAATATATCAGCATAAACTCATCATAGGGAGAATTCATAGGCTAGGTTGGTCATACTTACCAGTAGTCTGAATTCAGGAAGACCGGCGTCACTGCTTCATCGTTTCCCGTGGCTCTACCATACGACATCGAAATACCACAGCACTATATTAAGTACAGTGCAAGTAACATTGGCAAGTCACATCCGAAGCTATAATACCAAGTACGTACCGCGTCACTAATCTGCTGCCAACCACTCCGATGAGCACAGGAGCCATGCCAGCCGTAGCAATTCTCCCGAACGACAATAATACCACGGGAGCGGCCCTTTGCAAAATCGAAGATAGCCTGGCGCCCGAAGTCAAGCCCCTCCATCACGCCCGGCCGATACCTGTCAACAACAACGTCAGCCCCCCGGATCAGCGCCCTGGGCTTCTCCTTATCCGTCTCGTCTTTCAGGCCCAGAAAACAATCCCACTTGCCCCAGTGCTGTAAGTGTAGGGTTGAGGTTCATACTACCTAAGCAATACTTACTCTGTAAGCAAACATTTAGTGTTGTGGTTTTACAACATATTGTGATATGAAGAGGCAATTAGTCAAACTACTTTATATATTCACATTTATAAGAGAGCTGTGAAGACGCAATTTGGGCTGAAATGACCCCGGAACACTTATTTTTAATAAATAGTGGAAACTTTCCCCTAACGACAGGGCTATAGCACGATGTTCGGGTCGGATACGGGATTCGAAGGACTATATATAGACCCCAAATTAGCATCGTGGTAATTATTCAAACTTCTAGAATCGAAGCCCCACGCTAGCCAAGGATTAACTACAACCTTCATAGAAAATGATTCATTTATTAAGTTGTGAGTTGAACTTGGTAACATAATAAATTAACTACTTAAGAGTTCTTTCACCCCTAAACGACATAGTAATGTTATCGTATCAAGTATATACATAGTATATAAGAAATGTGACGAGATTTGTGCTATGTCATATTCCAACTCAGGAGAAGGCTACCTAACCTATTGCATCAATATATACTGCCATTCGGGCGCTGGGTCTGTGCCCTATGCACGGCTGGGGCATATAAATCATCTCAATTCTTCTTAACCCACTAGTTTACCCATCCTTCGTCACGCATACCCATACTATATAACTAGGTATTCCAGTTATATACATACACCCAAACCCGCAAGTCAACATGACTATCAATGCATTCCATTTATTCCCTTTTCTCCCTGCGGAAATCCGACACGAAGTATTCTTCTTAGCTACACCGCACCGCATCGTCCACATTTCACAACATCATGAAGACATAGATGACTTCTTCGAGCGGTTCGACGACTTATCTCCATGGCAGGTTAAACTAGACCCATCCTTAGCCTATCTTGCTCGGAATTGGCGCGAACGAATCTTGTCGTATAAAGATCTTTGGTCGCAGATGAAATTGGATTTTTACGGGTTTACAACCTCGCGTCCAGTACAACGTCCATGGGAACCCTCTCAGTTAACTCCCGAGATTCCTGTTCCTTGGTTATTCGAACATCACCAAGTAGCATATGAGCTCCTCCGGAAGAGCTATATATATAGTAAAGCACCCGTTCCGGCGCTTCTTCATACGTGTGTAGAATCGCGACGCGTGTTAATCAATGCTGGATACCAGCTTGCATTCGCGTCTCGTAACCACGGACCACGGACTTGGTTCAACTTCAAGAACGATGTGCTCTGTCTCAAATATTATGGACCCAGAGATAACATCAATCTATTAGATAATGGCCCATGGGGTACTGGAAATATTGATACTCAGAGCTTACAGCAAGTTCGAAAGCTAGCGATAGATATTGCACCCCCCCTTTTAATCTCAGGCTATGAATATGACACGGAAGATCCTGCTTTGAGTACAATTCGATTACTACCTAGGCTTGAAAAGATATATGTCATTGAATGGGACTTATCATTGTTCGACGACCACCTCGTCCGGAAATCGACAAGGCCATCAACCCCAGATGCGGGCACAGAACGAGAGCCAGTTTCATATGGGCGCGAACCCTGGAGATTTATTCCCGTTGAAGAAGTTGACTCATTGCTCGGATTGACTGTTCAATACCCTTACTGGCGCTACGGCATCGGCTGTATGGGCTACAATGCACGGAGCTTGGCGAATTTCGAAGGACCTACTGGCGAATACTTCTCCCACGTAAGAGAGTATACTAAAAATTGTATCAGGCTTGATATGGATAGTGTGGCGAAGGAAGAATCCGTAGCCCCCTATCAGGTGCCCGAGGTTGAATTTGGGCATATCTTTACGGAAGCCGGGGTTAGACGGCTATTTAACGATCGTCAGGAAGTGTGGAGGCAGTACAACTTGTCAATCAATGGACCAAAGCCTATCAATGAAACAAAGCCTATAAATGGAACAAGGCCTCCTCTGCCCAGGCCGGTAACACCAACTGATTTATATTGGCAAGACGATTGGGACGCGTTTGACGAAGCTCACTATTCTTACCACCACGTAGAAACGCATCCCGCAGACTATTTGCTACGGCATAGAAAAGTTTGTCAGCCAAGAAGAGAGCTGCTAACGGAGCCATGAGTGCCAACCACGTCCACTTGGCAAGGAAAAAGCCATGTCTGGCAGTTATATTGAGCGCCTTTGGATGTCATATCTCTCAGGCACCGAGAAACAAATCTCCCAAATGGGGACACTATAATAGGTTCGAAAAAGGGATAATCACGTAATAGGATACATTAGGTACTGATCAGTAGTTTTTACAGCATCTAACTAGTAGTTAATCTATAGAGTCTTTTAGAAGAAAAAGAAAACGCCCTAAAACAAACTATAGTGCTAGTCTAGGAGCGTGATGTATGTGACAAATATGAGAGTAGACTACAACGATGCTGTTTCTCAAATTGTTTGATCGAGATGAGAAACCATGAGGAGATGAGTTGTGATTGATTGCTGCTGGTTATGATTGACAATTAGATTCTCGTCATCGACCCCTTTTTATGACACAAGTGTGCTGCTTTCGTAGTATAAGCCCCTTAACCAATTCCTGATATAAAGACATTTCAATCAAATCTACCGTGAAGTATCGCTATACGTTCAGTTTATTACACATATCAGAATTAGAAATAACATGAAATTAAATTGAACCAAACACCAATATATTATAATGCCTTCGTAGGTGTTCCCGCAATAGGCTCAACTACTAAACGACGTCGTCGCTTTTCGATTTGACCAGATCTGTTAAAAGCTAACACTTTACAGTACTGGTAACACTTCCGCTTGGTGGGGTGTTATTCTAACTGCTGAGACTGAGGCTAAAGAGGCGGGAAGGTCTAAAAAAAAAAGTCAAAATAGAAACAATTTCTAAATGAGAGGAGAATGTAAGAAATGGGAAAACCACATTTGTGAAGGCATGTCTGAATAGTAAAGATTTGGGGGATGAGAATGATTCTCTTAAACAGTAACGAATTAAACTAGGTACCTAAGATATTATCTTAAAAGAATAATCATTGTAACCATGGTATTCATTTCGTTATCTCTTATCGCAACATCTAAAGTTCCAAGCTTCAACATCTTATCTAACTACCACATCTACCACATCTACCTACCTTTCTCAACATTACAAACATCCTATTGCTCTTCTTTTCGGGAAATCTATTCTTTCGAATGCTTCCATAAAAGCACAACTATATCTCCACGAAACTCCTATAAACATCTCCCAAACAACAACAACAACAACAACAACAACAACAACAACAACAACAACAACAACCACTCCTCCAAACCTTCCCTTTCCTCCCCCTAACCCACCACAATGCCATCGGATCTATCCAACTACCTCGCAACGCACTACCTCATCGCCGACCCCAAGCCCTCCAAGAAGCGCAAGCGCAAGCAAAAAGACGACTCCTCGGGCCTCATCATCGCCGACGAAACCGAATCCGGCTGGACGCGCGCGAACCGCGGCGACAACGACGACGAAGACGAAAATGGCTCCGCAGTAGTAGCCGGGACCAGCGCCGAGTTCCGGCGGGCGAAGAAATCCGCCTGGAAACCCGTCGGCGGCAGCACGTCCAGCAACACAGCAGCCCACGCCCAAGCCCAAGACACCGAAGCGGCAAGGGCCGCAGACGCCATCCTCGCCTCCGCCGCCGCCGCGGACGAGGACGCGTCCGACGCCCCCGCGGTCATGATGTCAGACGGCACGCACGCAGGCCTGCAGAGCGCATCCGCCGTCGCCGCACAGCTCGAAGCGCGACGGCGCGCCGAGCGGGAAGAATACGAGCGGGAGGGGGGCCGCAAGAAGGGCAAAGGCGGCGGCGAAGCAGAAACGATATACCGGGACGCGACGGGGCGACGCGTCGACGTGAGCATGAAGCGGGCCGAGCTACGGCGGGAGGCCGCCGAGGCCGCGGCCCGCGAAGCCGCCAAGACGGAAGCGCTGCGCGGAGACGTCCAGATCGAGGCGGCGCGGCGGCGGCGCGAAGAGCTTGACGACGCCAAGGTCATGACGGTGGCGCGGCACGCGGATGATGAGGATATGAACCGTGAGATGAAGGAGCAGGTGCGGTGGGGTGATAGCATGGCGCAGTTTATAGAGCCTAAAAGGGCGGCGGGAGGTGGAGGTGGAGGTGGAGGTGGAGGGGGGAAGACGAGGAAGTTGAAGGGCAAGCCGATATATCAGGGCGCGTGGACGCCGAATCGATACGGCATCCGGCCGGGATATCGGTGGGATGGTGTTGATAGGGGGAACGGGTTTGAGGCAGAGAGGTTCAAGGCTATCAACAGACGGGAGAGGAACAAGGGCTTAGAATATTCGTGGCAGATGGACGAGTAGTAAGCATTTACTAGGTAAATCTACGATCATGCACGGGATACGGTATAACGTTCAGGAGTTGAATTAGTGAGATACCAGCTGTCCAAGGCAGTCAATGCAGTAAGCCATAGCGCAACGCAAATTGTATAGCATAATCTCTACGGATTGGCCTGTAGTCCATTTTTGTCGGCATGCCAGCCCTTGTGCAGAAATGAAATGATATGAGACCCTAAGGCATATTTGCAGGAAATCTAGGGGGCATACTATCTAACCCACTCCCTTTCCATAACGATCCTGTCTCCAGCAGCGGAGATAAACCCCCTCCGACCTCTCATTCACTATCGGCATGATGCTGCATCTAACGCAACGCATCCCTTCAAGCTCTACAGATTTAGGGTAACGATTTGGGGGCCGCAAAAACCATAAAATGTAATCCTGTTCAGTATAACACTTCCCGCAGATGAACTGTAGGATAAGATTACCCCATCCCGGGGAGCGATCTAAGCCTTCCGGCGAAGTAGTTTCTCGGCTGTGTTGAAGTTGGCATTCTCTTTCACCAACTTAAGCCAGTCTTTCCTCTGCATAAACCCAGGTTTATCTAGACGATCCTGGAATTTCTTCAGGAGTAGGACAATAGTAATACCTTGAGGGAGCGGTGGTAGGGCATCGATAATCTCCTGGGCAGTGATAGGGTCTGCGATTCCTCCCGATGTCGAGCTCTGAGCAGGAGCACTGGGAGAACCAGCTCGAGTACCACCTGATGACCCTTTGGTGGCAGCTCCTTGGGCCGGGGCGGGACTGCCGGCTCGGGATCCCGCGGGGGTGCCTTTTGCGCTGTGTTTCCCACCTGCAGCTGACGGGCCAAGCCGCTTCTTCTTGCCTCCTGCACCGTCCGACATCTCACCAGCCGTGCCTTCACCATCGCTAGTAGAGCCGGCACCAGGCTTCCCGCGGCGGGGTAATGGGGTATTTCCGCGACTATCATGTGTAGTCTTCTTCTTCTTCCGGGTAGATTCAGTGCCACTAGAATCCGAACCCAATGGAGACCCGGCTCGCTTGAGAGACTTGCCCTTCTTTGCTGCCTCGGCAGCTGCCTTTTTCCCTTGGGGGGTATTAGTTCCCTTAGATGACACTCCAGCATCTTTGTCTTTATCCTTCTCGGCTTTCTTATCTTCATCATCCTTCTCGTTTTCAGAATCGGAATCTGACTCGTCCTACAGCTTCATTAATTTTGATTGACCAATTAAACTGATTAGCGAGTACTTACGTCTGAGGAAGCAAAGGGGTCCCTCTCTTTAGAGGAGTCGCTATCGTACTGGAATTGTTTATCACGTCGCTTTAAAGCCTTCTTAAGGGATTTCCCAAAGAGCTTTCGCTCCAGCTCTTCCTTCTTCTCCTCGTCTTCTTCTTTCTCGACCTTGACCTCGTCTGCGTCACCGAAAAGATTGGCATTGAGCTGGTCGCGGCGGATTCGACTATTGGCATGCTTGGTGTCCTCGTCTCGGTCAGGTTCGTATCCAGCAGTCTCATCATCATCCTGGAACTCGTCTCCCGAAACGTCAATGTCATCATGGTCCATTTTCTCCTGGCGTGAAGCTTGCTTGAATGTACCGCTTTCTTGTTTAACAGCCACGCGGCCGTTAACAATAGCTCGAGACTCTGCCATAGCCCTCTCTGCTTCTTGACGCTGAGTATCTCTTACCGCCCAACGACCAAGGGCGACCTTCTTGTTCATGGCCTTCTCCGCTTCCTCAATGGACATTATTTTGAATGATCCACGTTTTGACTGAAACTTGTACCATTTTTCCAGAGGTATCATGCGAAATCCCCCGTTGTGAATCTTGAAAGCGACTTTGCAGTCAGACAAAGGTGCTTCATACTGGCCAACCCAAACATTCTTTCCATCGGCATCCTCCAAGTGCCATGGCAGCGCCTCCTCATATCGAATTTCGGCTTGCTTTTTCTGCTCTTCGGTACGGGGTGCGTAGTGAATTTGTAGGCCAGGCTTTTTCTGTTCTTTCTGCTGCTTAGCCTTCGGGTTTGCATCCTTAACAACCGGCGCCTTCTGGGCATTATCAGCTGCGCGTTGTGCTTCCCTCTCTGCTTTCACCTGCGCAAGTCTTTCAGCTTCAGCAGTATCGACCGTGTCCTCCTCGATAGGAGCCTCCTCTTTCACTTCGCGACCGGGCGGCGGTTGTCTGGGATCGCGTCGGTGCAACGTAACAGGGCGAGTAAACTCATCCTGATTAGTAGGGTCAACTCCAGGACCATTAGGCTTTGCGAGTTTGCCGCCATGCGGGGCGAATCGCATAACATGGAAGCGTAATCCTTCCTTCAGAGACTTCTTTGTGACATAAAGAGGGTAATCTTGGGCGCCAGGGGGGGTAGGCTGAGACCATCCGCCATTCTGTGTACGCAATACATCGAAGTTCAGTTGCCCCGGCTTGCCCTGGGCTTGGAATTGCTGCGGCTTACCGACAGGTCGCGGTGCAGCATTTGGTGTAGAACCTCTAGCAAGGGTCGAAGGGGGTGGTCGGGTTGTGGGCTTCTTTCTTGGAACGAGGGGATTCGCAGTATTTCGTGGCCTTCGCAGCGGTGGCGCGCCAGGAGGAGGTGTTGGTTTCTGGCCGTTGGGGCCACCAGAGGGCGAGGGTGTTGCACTCATAGTGGCGATGTCAGAAGTCAGAAGTCAGAAGTCAGCACCCTCTAACTAGCGGGCTTCGACAAATATCGAAGACGTCGTAAGTCGTGAATTATTGCGCTATGCTTCATAAACAAGCATCGGTGAATCGAGGAATGTACTGGAAGACGATGAGATGGTCGAGAGACGAAGGCTGATTTGGATCAAGATATTGACAGACGAATCGAATGTCGCGCCCGTATCAAATGTAAAGGAAAAATAAAGATGGAAAATATTATTCCAGAAAAGTGCGCAACTTCTAGTCAGGGTTGCAAGATGAATATGTTTTCAAAAAAGACAAGCTGCAAGGTGGCAGGAGAAAATGCCAAGTGAATGGAGGATGGATAAGATGAAGGGAATATGTAGTGAATAGACAGGATAGAGGAAGTTGAAGATGTACAGTCAAGTCAGAATCAGCCGTGGATCCAATTCGGTAGAGCCTGCCAGTTGCCTTAGGTACATATAACATGTACCAAGGCAGCAACGGTATGGATGTACCTACCTGAATTTTTTTTTTCGGAGGTACGTAGCTTTGTTTTGTCATTCGAACGCAGGCAATTTTAGAACAAAGGCAACCAGGTCCTGGAGAGCCGCTTGCCAAAAGAGAATGGGGAAGGTGGACTCTGTGGGGCTGCCATAAAAGTACTTATAACGTCACTTGAGTAACTTTTGGTGACAGCCAACACAAGTAGCGCAAGTGAGACATAGCGTAGAAGTAGGAGCTACAGGGTCCCAATCAGTACAACCCGAACAAGCTCACGTAAGTACTTATTCTCCGATCCAAGTCACAAATCGCACTAGGGTAAAAGCTCTGGCAAGATCCAATACTGCTAATTCTTTTTCAGGTGCAGCCAATCAATTGATCTTTCAAATATCAAAATCAAATGCTGCATAGGTATTTATTGAGTTGCTATCACCTGAATGTACGTAGATATATGTGCCCAGTTCGACATCCGAGAATGCGAAGCTCTTATCTCGTACTCCGTTAGGTATGAACACTTTTATCCTATCTTCTACAAAACACCTTCTTCGCAAGAAAGCTATCCCTAACTAGTCACGTCTAATTTCACTACAAAAATCATACGATTGACGATTAATTGGTGTCTACTATTACCATACATATCAACATATGATTATTTCTGGACTCTATTAGGGACAGCCTTCACAAATCTCTTAGGACCTAGCAACGAGCTAATCAATAACAACTTCACTTCTTAGAACTTACACAGACAGTTGTCATAAACAGCACCCCCGGAAACTTATGACCATGAGCATGGATTTCTAGCCCATAACCACTACGAACATTCCTGCTGTTGAGATTGTTTCCGATGAGGCTTAATCAAAATATCCCGATCATGCTTCGAGGTACTTAAGTCTCTGTCTTCAGATCAGATTATGCAACATCCCAATCCTTCCAACCTCACAATTACCTTAGTCTCAATATTTACTTTCATGCTATCATACTATGCAGGCCTCTCAAGATGGTAGTAGTCCGCTCGAGGACCGCCTACGTAGCCTCATAATTAGCAATACAGAAGGGACGACTACACATGCCCCTCAAAGCTCGGCTACTTCTACAGGAACAGGAGATATCTCTTTAGAGAATGGGCCTAAAGTCAAACAAGGATGGCCGGAGGCAGGACAGTTATCTCCTTCAACACAAGCCCCTCCTAAATCCAGCAGGAAACGTCCAAACCAAGCCGAGCGTCGCATGATGCGAGCCCAGCTATCCATTCCTATTGACACCAGAGCTCCAGCACCCTATGATGGGAAGCCCTATGCAAATTCCCACCAGACCAAGAACCAGCGTTCTACGTGGCCCAACACTGAGCAGGATACTTTTCGCCCTCCTTTAAATGCATACAATAATGAACCCCAGGGTCGTGCTACCAACTCTCCTTTTTCAAACCAGCGACGCCATCAAGGCAGATTTGGCCAAGTATCAGCATCTGTCCCAGGCCATCAGCCACCTCAGAGGCAACAGCAACCATATACGCAAAATCATTTCCCAAGGGGCGTTAACGTTATATCGGCAGATTCATTCGCAGCCCGCGGCTCTGCACCTACCTCTTCACAGTCTTGCCTCTATCATCCAAATGGGCAGCACCAACCTATCTTCGATCCAGAGCAACTTGCGAATGAATCAGCCCATCTTGATGAACTTTGCCGTTTTGTGGTTACAGGTGCGGAAATTGAGCCTAGTGATATTGCTGAAAAAGAATACTTCCGTGCTCGAGTAGAGGCAATTTGTCGCGATGCTATCACTCGCCATGAGATCGAAACCAATGGAAACTTGGGTTTCCAGCCTTACACAGTCGAACTCAAATGCTTTGGGAGTCTTGCGTCTGGATTTGCGACAAAGGCTGCCGATATGGACGTTGGTCTTCTTTCTCCTATGTCCTGGTCCTCGCCGGAATCACCGGATTCGCCGATTCCACGTCTAATTGAGAAAGCATTACTGGAGCATGGTTTTGGTGCACGCCTTCTCACTCGTACTCGAGTACCAATCATCAAGCTCTGCGAAAAGCCCAACGAAAGACTTCTTTTGGACTTGTTAGACGCGCGAGCTAAGTGGGAGAAAGGAATAGTAGACGATAGTAACGAGGCGGCAGACGATGTTATAGACGATCAAGATGCCCCTGACGGCGCTGTTGCTGCCCTGGCTGTCGCCGAAACCGAATATTCGTCATCTGGTAACCAGCACCAAGACTCCCCAACACGATCTGGCCAAGTGGAGAGGAATTATGAGGAGCAACTTACATCCTTGAAGCAACCCCACTCTCAATCGCTGGTATCGTATTATCATAACGCGAAACGCCTTTTACGCCGATTAAATGGCCGTGATATCACCATATCAAATGCGGCAGACTTCAAAGACACAGACTACAAGGTTCTTGATGATGTTGCTAATGCCTTCATCAATGGACTCCATGATGGGGACTTGAAGCGCCGAATACGGGCATACCCATCCTTCTCTTTCGATGTCACATCAGAGCCGCCTAATCGCCGCTCGCTTTTAGGCGTCTTTATGATGGCGGAAGGCGAGCAACTTGCGACTATCTGGGAAACGCAGGCAATGATAGAAAAGACCATTCAATTGAGACCAGATTCTAAATTTGTCGTTCAGACCTGGAAAGATATCATGTGTAAGAAGATATTCGGTACAGAACCCTTTACACTTAATCGGGAACTTCATTTAGCTCTTGAACGCCTTCGTAAGATCCCGTTGGTGCAACTTATACAGCTTAAGCAAGATCAATACGAGTCACCAACACAATATCACACAAGAGCGATCCAGATCACGAACGGTCTTTGTCCCGCTCGTCCATCATCAAATAAGTCTTTTCTCCCTGAGATCTCCCAGCACTATATTTCGGGCATCCGTGATAAGTATGTGAGAAATGAGGTTCAAAACTTCGCAAACTCCACCGGAGTGCAGAATCTAAGGACACTGGCCAGAAAACACAAAATCATCCATCTTGTCACTGACTACGAAAGGGCCATCGAGAAAGGGTTGTACCGCGAAGAGGATATTCCAGTCATTAAAGAGTATATGAAGATCCTTCAGGGCGATTTCCGGCATCAGACACCAGACACCAGTAAACCCATAGTTGATGCGTTCGACTTCATAGTCCCAGCTACCAAGAAAACAACGGAGATAGTCGAAAAGATCAGACAACTCCCTGACCCATCCAAGCTTGCCCCAAACAAGCCAAGGGACCGATATCACGATAGCCTAGAGTTTCCAAAGAATGGAGTTGGTGTTCAGTGCGATATCAATTTCTCGGCCCAGTTAGCCCTTCAGAATACCTTGCTCCTACGTTGTTACTCCTACACCGATCCCCGTGTTAGGCCGATGGTCCTTTTTGTAAAGCACTGGGCCAAGGCTCGCGGCATTAATACACCATATCGCGGAACCCTGAGCAGCTATGGTTATGTTCTTATGGTATTGCACTACCTTGTCAACGTTGCAGAACCATTCGTATGCCCCAATCTCCAGCAGCTCGCCCCCCCTGATCCGAATTTACCAGCAAAGGATCTTGAGGATGTTACCACATGTAAGGGCTGGAATGTTCAGTTCTGGAGGGATGAAGAAGAGATTCAGAGGCTAGCCCATCAAGGCCATCTCAACCAAAACCGAGAATCCCTTGGATCATTGCTAAGAGGTTTTTTTGAGTACTACGCACAGAATCACGTAATCAGCACTACTCGCAAACGTGGTTTTGACTGGGGCCGGGACGTACTGAGTTTGCGAACCCATGGAGGGCGGCTCTCAAAGCAGAAGAAAGGTTGGACAGGAGCAAAAACAGTCCTACAATTAGAGACAGGAGCTCTTCCAGACCCAGCCGAAGCGGGGGCTAACAATAAGGTGAAATCACCTATAGATGGCATGATCGGACAGCAAGCTATAACAAACGCACAAATTGGGCAATTTAATTCTCCGGACGGTGTCCCTGTGCCACTAACCAAACCAAAGGAATTGAAGGAAGTACGTCATCGATACCTCTTTGCAATAGAAGATCCGTTCGAACTTGAGCACAACGTCGCTCGGACTGTAACTCACAATGGCATTGTGTCCATCCGAGACGAGTTCCGGCGTGCCTGGAGAATCATCAGAACTGCCGGCAAAAATGGGCAAGCTGTAGAGAATCTGCTGGAGGATGTCAACGTGGAAAGCGAAAAGACGGATGGAAGGCAATTCACAGAACTATTAGAGGAGATACATGGACCGGGTATCTTCTCGAGTTCTGCAACGAACTAATCATAGTGATAGCTATCCGCACAAGTTTGTAGGTTTAAAATTGTAAGCTCTGCTTTGTAGCAGCAGATCGGATATTGTACGAATAATGACGTCCAGGGGATATCTGACGGGGGAAGAGTACGATGGATCTCTCTTGCTACTTGTCGGCTGGTTGTCTGAGCTGGTTTCATAATATTGATGTGTTAACTGCCAACTGAATACGTGGTTGTCCGGCCTCGTATCACGGATTAATGTAATGTTTGTACGATCGCACACTCTAACAGCTTCCTTTTGCTATGAACGGCGTCAAATCAAGATTAGTCAATCGTATTAACGACTTTCTGATCAACTCGTTTCGCTATATTGCTCTCGTTTGCTATTCTTTATGGATGTTCAATTGTGTTAGGTATAAAAGGTAGCTACCACCTAGGTACCCCTGAATTAAAGTAGACCCCGACTTTACCATGCTTTGACCTCGTCGACCCAGACAAAGGTCATGATAATAATCACTTAAGAATATTGCTCAACGGTATAATCACCAGGTATGACAAACTAGAACATATGTATTGAACAACCGTAATATGCTGTATAGTAACAACTGGATTGAGTATAGTCAGTAATATACCTAACCTACCCTAACCTAAATAAAATATTCAAACGTGTCCGAAAATTTCTCTTGCCAAACACCCACTATCCATCGAAACGGACATGATAAAAAAAATATCTGAGTGACCGGCCTTCTAGAATCGTGAAGTCCCAAAAGAGACAGTTTGATCTACCAACGTTCCGTTCAGAGGCTTGTCCTAGAGGGACGTTAAGCCCTGGCTATCCGAGGATAGCACCGCTGGGGATTGTGCAAAGGGGAAACAATTCAGAGAGCATGGGTTTGGCGCACGCGAGACTCCATCGAACAACATACCTGTCGTGACAATCTTAATGTGGTATCTGATTTAATCGCATAACGCTAGCCGTGATTCCTAAAAGCCGTAATAGAACCTTGTTTCGCCTCCAACCAGACGCCATACCGAATAACCCGCAGCCTCACCTATCAACCTTTTTATGAATAGTACACTACTGCGAGCATATGGCAGTCTAATTCATAACAATCGTAACATTCCAGGTTATCTAATCGGCCATATGTTGGAACAGAGGCGAGATGGATTCGCCGTAGTGGTTTCTTCGAATAGCTTCGGCCAACAGATAGGAAAGGTCAAGAATGACCAACTTACTTGAGTTTTTAGCTCTCCGGTCAGATATTGGAAAACTGTTGGTTACGATGATCTGATCGATACAGTCGCAAGCTTGCAGCTGCTCGAGACAGTCTGCTCCGAATACTCCATGAGTGGCCATGCAATATACCTTCTTTGCTTTGCCTCGCTTAACGACTGTCTCAGCCGCAGCAATCCACGAGCCGGCTTTGTCAATCATGTCGTCCACAATCAGGACTGGACGGTCCTTAACATTGCCGACCAGTGTGATCATATGTTCGATCTTGGGATCTCGGAGTTTCTCTTCCTCCTCGTCAGAAGACGCTCCGACGTCACCCGAGCCGCCGAGTGCATGTGGTTCGGGCGCAAAGAAAGAAGAGGCATGAGACATAGTCATAGGATCATCGTCGCCGCCTTGATAAGATTGGCTCCCATCTGCGCTGGCATCTGATTGAGGGGGCGACTCGAAATCGTCTGGTACAACGTGACCCTGGACTAGTCTTCCATGAGTCACTTCTGGGGCACGCTGGTCGTTATAGACCTGGACTTCATCCACATTCTCTTCTTCATCTTTCAACTCCTCGATAGGGGACGTTTGAGATGGTGTATATGCACGTGTATAAGGCGACCGCGTTAGACTATTAGTCCGCAGCGGAGGCGCAGTTGCACGTTTAGGAGAGCCTTGAGATTCACCGACAACTCGCGATGACCTTACTGAGCCGTTGCCATCTGATTCCCTATCTTCCGAAATAGCTCTTGAACGCTGGACGCCATTGATATAGCCAGGGGGGTTGTCCCATCCATCGAGCCGGTTCATAATCATACTTGCGGACATATTAGGAGCGCGTTTGCGGTCCGTAGTAACTAATCCGAAGTTGAGTTTCAACGCATCGGCCAACGAGGTTACCCTCTTCGTGCCACCAGCATTCTTGGATACGACGACGGCTTCCTTCCAATTAGGAATATTCAATCGAATCCAGCGTGCAATAAGGGGCTCGGCATGTAGGTTGTCAACAGGACACTTGAAGAATCCTTGCATCTGAGAGGCGTGTAAATCGACAGTGATAACATGCTTGACACCAGCTACGTGAAGTAAATTTGCTAGCATACGAGCGGTGATAGCTCCCCGGTGTGATTTCTTCTTGGACTGGCGGCTGTACGGGAAGTACGGAAGAACAGCTGAGAAGGTCTTGTAGTTAGCAAGTAGAATACACCCTTTTCATGTCTATGATGTGACCTAGGGATATTTTCCTCGCTGAAGCTTCGAGAAACTCACCAGTGATCTTGTTCGCAGAGCCACCCTTACAGGCGGAGATCATGATGAGTAATTCCATGATAGTGTCATTGATTGTAGGGCTTCCAGATTGCACAACGAAGACATCCTTGTCTCGGACACTGGTCAGAATTCGGACGCTTGTTTCGCCCTATAGGTTGTGATCGAAAGGTCAGTGGGCAGCTCTACCGTTACAACATTGCCCAACCCTATTTTCTTTTTCCAAGCCCGTTAGACTTGGAGGCATTGGGGAAGGATAACACACATTTGAAAATTGAGATAGGTCGGCCTCAGCCGGAGCCATGCCCAGGTTCTCACATATCTTGCCTGTGAGAGCTGGGCACGACGTGCCCGAGAATACTAACGTTCCTCGCATTGTGGATGGTGAAAATGGAAGAAAAGTTTTGGTGGAGGAATGAAGAAAGATGGTTTTATGTGGGTCATAGGTGGGATCCGATAAGAAGTAAAAAGAGCAAGAGCGTGGACTTAATTTGGCCGGGGCCTTCACTAGGTACATATGGCTGCATGCACGGTACCAACCAAGACATTTTGACATCAACATAAGTACAGTTATAAGTACAGTTACCCTCATCCGAGCCGTGACCGTTGTTACACTTATACTTTTATCATTTTATGATTCGCTCCTTACTCGGCAGGCGCCGTAGATATCAGGTGTTAGGCTAAAATCTTATTGGAAAGCGCATGTTAAATACCTGTGTCTAATTGACTTTGTTAAGCTTTAATTGGTTTAAAGATTTTTGAGGGGTTATGTAGTCTTGCATTTGATTTGATCCATTAGAGACTTAGGTACCGATACACAGTAACTCAGGTACTTACCTAGGTTAGGTTACCTTAGGTAGGTTAAGCTATTCTCCACCAGTCTTCTTCAGTGAAGCTTTCTACAGTGGCCCGTCTTCGATCACGCTTTTTATCCCAATTCAATTCAATAATTCAATAACCAAGTGCGAGGTTGGTCGACGACGACGTATATACCAAAATGAAGTGATACACTATAACCTACCTAGGTTAGATCATTCGAGATTCTAGTGGAAATACTTTACCTTGAAGAGCCAGCCCAACGCTAATCGTATCGCGATGGGTATTCGTGGGTTTACCCAAGGCATACAACGATTTGGAGTCTTCTCACCATTAAGTGGTGATACCGTCGTTATTGACGGGCCAGCTCTCGTTCACCGCATCTCTGACGCAGTCTGCCGCCAACGGCCATCTACAAGCGGATTTGCCTGCCAACCCCCATACTCCCTCCTTAGCCGTATGGTAATAGGCTGGCTTGACGAGTTAAAGAACCACAATGTAAATGTGTAAGTCGATTTTGAGATTCAACTGGATACTTCAATGACCGACATTTTTTGGATAGAAGGAAGATATATTTTGATGGATACTTGCCTCCAAGCAAGTGGCAAGTGAGACAAGAGCGGCTCGTAAGCCAGTCGCAGAGCATGAAAGCATTGGCGTCTTCTCGGCCATTTGGGTCACCTACGACACCAGAAGGCGCGTTTAGAGACGTAAGAGCCAATACTACCTTAACACGGATTTCCTCTCGATCTTTGTTAGATGCATTACCAAAACCCGCTTTTATGATCCCGGCGGTTCTTGAGGCTTTAAAGGCCAGTGAAGACTGGGGTCCGTTGGTCGTAGTCGTCCCTGGAGAAGCTGATATATTCTGTGCGCAAGATATTCGAGAGAATGGTGGCACTTTACTAACAAACGACTCCGACTTACTCATACAAGATCTTGGGGTTAAGGGGTGTATGTCATTCCTTTGGGACGTCATTCCAGTCGATCCTGACTCGAAGGAATCCGGTATGGTAGCAATGAAGATATCGCTTCATGATATCAATGACCGGCTAGGCTTGACAAATCTTGGCGGTCTGCCTCGAGTTGCCTTCGAAAAGCAGAAGGGCTGGATGAGCTTTGACGCAGCTGTACAGAAAGTACGGAACAGTCATGAAGATACGCTACATTCCCCGGAGTATCAGGCTTTTGTGGACGAGCTTCAAGGAAAGGAATATATGCCAAGCCACCACCCGGTGTTTACTATGCTTTCTAGCCTAGACCCAAGAATATCGGAAGTCGTCGTTCAAATTTTACTTTTAGAGCAGATGGAAGAAAACCCTACGGAATCAGATGACCCTGCGGAATTAGATGACCCTACGGAATTAGATGAGAAGACATTGCGAGGTCCAGAGACACTTTCCATATTCCTTCCAGTCATGGTTGAAAATCATGATAAGAGAAGCGCATGGACAAGTAGCACAAACATTCGCCAAATAGGGTACAGTATCCTCCAGAACTTAGCACGTCAAAGATACAACAAAATCATCGAGTATCGTACCTTGGATCCATCGACGTCATTGACCGGGCGACAAATTGAGATTCCTAACTTCGAAGAGACGGCTGACAATTGTACTCAACTTGTAACAGTTCTGGACAAACTAGCAGAGGCCTTGCCATCTTCGTTGCAGTGGCTGGCGTTTGCGGTATATCAGGACATTGAATGGTCCACGTCAGAACAACGCCCCTCTCTATCAGCTACACTCGTCAACAAAATAATTAACGGGTCTAAATTTCTGGAGGAATACTCGTGGGACTTGATACATTTCACAGCCCAAGTCCAAGCCTGCTTATACTCGCTGAGGATAGTTAAACAGATCTTAGACGTCGTTGTCTCTACATCTACAAGTCAAGATCTCCCAGCGCCAGCGCTCCAACTACACAACCGTCTCACACTAGTTCCTCTTATTGGGGAATGGCCTACTATTGAACACATGTCTGATCTAATGTCTAAGTTCGGTAATGCAGAGGGACTCCGAGTCATCACAGACATGCTCGGAATCCCAAGTATCGAAATAGCAGGGCCTTCTGAGGATCCTACAGGGCCGAGAGAAAGACAGAAGCGAGATACCGAGCTATTGCCGCGCAATGGACGCCAAAGAGATATCAAAATATCACCTTCTATCAACCCTTATGCCATCCTCAGCCAAGAGTGCGAAGACTAATATGAAGATGAATCAGCAAATCTTCTAACTAGTGGTAGTTATGAAATAGTGTGCTATGACAAGAGAGGACTTGGTAAGATATTGAGAAAACAGATTGGCTTTACGAAAAGAAGATATCGGTGATATAGCTCGAGGGTTAGTTGATATCCAAGAAGATCCATAGCATCAACGAATACCTTCTATTGGCAGTACTATACGCAAAGGATCATTACGTTGTCAGTAAGCATGGGTCGCCTCGGGCCGCCAAGATCCCCGAGGTCCTTTCGGATACCACTTTTATTCGGCTCTAATGAGTCACCTGAGTACGCGACTGGATCGTGAGGCGGGGTTCGGTGAAGACCCCATCCCGCAACGCGACGATGCCGACATAAGCTACATATATCCCCACCCTTGTCATGGTTAATGCTGCTAACGGCTTCTCAGGCTATCTTCTAAGGTATGTCTATAAGAACTTCTGTTCGACCGCCGGAGTTCTCTACCTATTTTAAATCCTATCTGTAGTATTTTCTTGCCTTTATTCAAGACATCCTATCACCGAGAATAGATAAGCCTAAGCAACATATTACACATATCTCCAACGATACATTTTGCCTAGTATATTTTTAAGTACCCGAAACCATACAACACAATGGCAACAACTGCGTCTCTTCTTCCAACTATCCCCCGCATATTCTTCCTCTATCTAGAACCAGTTGCGATGTATGTCTCCTGATTTTTTCATATTTTATAAGACACCCATGATTAACACGAATAGAACATATGGCATGTTTTCAAATTATGCCTCGCGTCATCCCATATTTGAGCTTTCATCTAATGCACAAAATGGTCTACCTATCCCATCTCTAATTATGCCATCGATGGCCACTGGTTACCTTCTTAATATGATGCTATACGGTCTAATTATTCTCCTTGCATCACCGCCTAATAAGCGTATGTTGCAGCTACACATCGGGATCTTGATAATTGCTGACCTTACGCACTGGGCTGGTCTTTTTTCGACAATTGCTGAAAATGATCCTCGCGGGTGGGCTGCCATCTTCGACATGAGTAATTGGGGAGCTGATGTCGGGAACCTTGCTACGTATCCTATTAGCAGCCTCTCTATTAAGTTTGCGACTTTGGCTGGGTTGTTTGGCAAGATCCAGGGATAGTGTTTGAGCAGACTTCTTAGGGGAACGAACGAAAGTGAATAAATAGGGAGTAAATTAGGAAAGGGTATAATAGAAAAGGGGGAAAGGATGCAATAAAAAAGGGGGGAAAAAGAAAAAAGAATTGAGAAGGACAAAGAGAGAGGCAAAAAAGCAAATACAAAAAAAGCTCAGTCCTAGATTCGAATCCCCTCGGATAGGGGCAGAGGATTCGAACCCAAGACCTACGAAAAACCGGCTTTGTTAGGCATCTGCTGTCAAGTCACATTCTTTTTTGGAAGAATGGTCCAGCATAAGACACCACAGTGGGGTTTTCTCTAACCTCAAGTCGCCCAAGCGAGGGGCGTCGGTTGATGGATCGCTTGTAATTTAGATATATATCCTTTACTTGGTGGGTAGGTACATTTGTTGAGGTACCTTGGGTAGTTATTTCGTTGCCTGGGTTTCTGCCGGTTGGCTTTTCAGGTAGTGGCCAGCTGTAGGTTGCATGCTTGTGAAGCTATTCAGGCCCGATAATACAAAGTAGCAGTTTTTTGTACATCACCCTATATCTCGGTAGGCTAGGCACTCAGGTAAGTTGCATAGGTACCTAATGGAAAAAAAATAACACACTCATATATTAACATGAAATATAGGAAACCTACCGTCTATATAACCGACTAGTGATCGGCTGTCCTTCTCAACATTCAACTATTAATACCTTCACTAGACCACGCACTCCCTTTCTCAAAAGCTCACATTTGTATATAAAATGGCGTTCTTCTCGAGACCCTAAAAGTTCTGACCGCCACCCGCAATAGCAGTCATGTTAGGATTCCCAGGCTTGATGAGAGTCTTGTCCTTAGGTATAGCATCCAGCACCGCATCCGACAGGTTAAGAGTGTCCTTGATAATCTGGCGCGGCGTCAACGCGAGCCACTGGGCAGCGCTGATGTCGGAAAACTTCTTGGCCTGCAGCACCTCTAGGAATATGACGTCTTCGGTGCCGGTATTCTCGATGTAGTGGCCGGCCGACTTCTGGATGTAGCCGACGTCGCCAGCGGTGAAGTCGAAGGTCGCGGAGGCGGCGGGGGCTTCGTAGATGGTGATGCGGGCGGAGCCTTGCAGGAAGTACGACCATTCGTCGCTCTCGGTGTGCCAGTGTACCTCGCGCATGGCGCCGGGCTCGAGGACTACGAGCGCGGCGGAGAACATGTCTGCTACGGGGAAGGTTATCGGGTCTAGGATCTTGACGGATCCGCCGGTGGTGTTGTGGAATTCTTGTTGCGACCAGTGGTAAGTGTATCCTGAAGGGCCCCAGAGGGCGCCAGCGGAAGACGTGATATTCTGCTCTGAGATATTAGCTGGCGCAGGGGTACCGTTGAAGATCTATTATGCCTGGTTAGCTGAGATTCCTTTGCTACGGACTTTTAAATAGTGATTCCAACTATTATAGGTCCAGGGGAATAAGTAACTCACATATTTCTCTGCGTCAGGGATGTTATCGAACGAGCTGACATCGGTCTGGAGATCCTTGGCCCAGACAGATATGGGCGTGCGCATGAGCATCTCGGTAGCAAGGAAGGTGTCTGTCTCGGAAAAAGTACCGCTGTCGAAGATCAACAGGAATTCGGCGCCCTCGTGTAAGGCTTGTAAGCTGTGAGGGACACCCTGCGGGAAGAACCACACATCGCCAGCCGTGACGTCGTCGACGAAGGAGGCTCCATCAGTGTCGATGGCGGCTACGCGAACCGAGCCTTTCAAGACCAGGGCCCTAGTTACAGGTCAAGATGTCAGCTTCGGGTCGCTTCGGGTCTTAGGTAAGAGCCAAGAGACAAGTAACTTAGAGGACTCCATACCATTCACCGGAAGTATGCCAGTGCAGTTCTCGATACGCATTCGGTGCAAGACGCATATCGACGCCCGCCATCTGAGTAGCCACGGGCAGTACGTCTTGATTCTGCTGCCGAGCCCAGCCCGACTCCTCGCCTGAGCCGAATAGGTTGTGACTTAGACCAAGAGGCCACATAGCTTGGGGCACACTGCCTTTATCCGTCGAAGGTGGAGCGTAGGTATCGGGATTCAGCTTCTCATACTCATACGTGCGCGGCCCAGGGTCAGTTTGTCCCAGACCACCACGAATAGGCTGTGGGCCATTGGGATAGTCGGCGCTATTGAAGTCCAGGTAGAGACCAAGGTTAGCATCAGCTTCCTGGCCGCCCACGAGCTGCGGATCCTTCACAACGGCCGAGTCGCCCCCGTCGACAGGTGGACGCGATGCGATGCCTCCTTGGAGGTTCGTTGAGCCGCGAAGGTTTCCTACGGGTGCGCCGCTGTAAGTTGGAATAGGCGGGTTGACACCACCAACATCCCCCTTATTTTCCTCGTATGTCATCCTATAATCGGTCTTAGTGCCGTCCTCTCTAAGACGTTCTAGATGCTACTTACTGAGGCCTTGGAAGGCCAAGGGCCAGATGAAATAGCCCAGCGCTTGCAAGTGTCTTTGAGTACTTCATCTTAGGAAATTATATATCTTGCTAATAAAGATTGATGCGGCTAAGATAGGAATAGAAGGGTTGTGGTGGCCTAGGATTCCTTGTCGTCTCTGAAGGGTGATTGATAAATTGTTCGAGAGGGGAAATCTCCACGACTTTTATATTCGATTCCCCTTAGTAGGTATTGTTCCAACTTTCATCGGTGGACACATAATCAACCTCATCATCATAGGCATCGCTCAATACCCCTACTGCAGCCTTCCCTGGTAACAAGACTAAAAGCTCGGAGATGTGACGCCGTATAGTCTAGACCCGCCATCCAGTACTTGTGACGAGAGAGCATACTACGTAGGGTCCTATACCCCTGAGTATAGTTATTTCCGCTCTAGCGACATAGTATTCAGTGTCTTCAACGACGCACGCGTGGTAGTGGCTCAGTCCCTTCTTCCTAAGGACCGCCATCGGTCACAAATGCAACGGGTCAGCCGGTGAGGCCTTTACCCTGCTACTAGAAGATGCCGAATCCGATCCGCTGCAGAATACCTGGATAGGATTTCTGGTCTGCAGCCTCAACCCTAGCGATTCCGAGCGACGCCGAAAGTAGTCAACTACCTACATTGCACTGTAGGACTTCCCGGAAAAGGATTGCCGGATTTAACCAGGTTAGCCCGTTTATTAATCTGAAGACATAGGAGTGACACGGAAATGCGGCAGAAAACGAGCGCTCAGATATCATATTTAGCTTTCGCTGACATACATCGATCCATCCATCCATGCGCCAGCTCGGAATCTCGGGGTTTTTGGGTGAGATTCTGATTCGCGAAATATGATTTCAGCATGTTAGATTGCACCGCTGTGAAGCCTTACTCACTCAGCTCAAGTCGGTCAGCAATAAGAGCCCACGCTGACGGAGATATAGCTAGGAAATACACCTATTCTCTACACTGGCATCGTAATCGTTCGTTCATTATTCGCTCGGAACCCCTTTCGACTAAATATGACCTATTTAGTCCGAGGATGGTTTGGAAATAATTACCTTGTAACAGATCCTGATAGCAAGGAAAGACGGCGAAAGCTTGGAGTCTCGGGAGTATGATGAAGATAAAAGCTATGGGTTAAAGAGATATAACGATGTATTAGTCTGTTATAAGATTAATTAGGACCGCACCTACGTATCAATCCGGTAAGATTATCTACTAAAACTACTCTACTCAACTCATCCTCCCCAAAACTTGATAATCTGCTGGAGATCTGTAACCCCCAAACCGTGTCTTAGGTAGTAAATATACACTTGCTCGCCAAGCAGGCCTAACTCCCCCCTAAACTGCGCCTTACCGCCAAGCCGGAGGACCCTAACGATAACGTCGTACGGCTTGGCTAAGAACCTCGCGCCAAGCCGGGCCCCAGGCGCAAGCCGCTCCGGGACGCCAGCGCCGAAGGTCACCGGTCCGCTCAGACCTTAATAAAGGTTCGCGATTATAATATATAGAATAGTTAGAGTAAATACTCAGCGGACGTAATTCAAGGTATTGGGTATCTCAAGGTACCGGCGGGAAGTCTTATTGGGCTTTTTCTTTTCATCGATCAGATTTCACGAACCCGCCTCTCGAGAAGGAAAAATGTGTTTATTTCTTCCATCGGTATTTCATGCATAAAATGCCCAACTACGTGAGGTAGTAATTCTAGCAATGCTAGTGAAGGCACATGCGAGTTTGTTAAATCATTACCTGGCTATTAAAGATATAGTTCATATAAGTTGATCGTACACCGTAACGATGGCTTATAAGACGGCAGCCAAGAAGCCATAGGGAACAGCTAGAGTAGTCTAAGTGTATGTACGTAGGGAGGACTTTCGAGATATATTGATTATTCTATCAGCACGCCAGAAAATCAAGGCTCCTTGGAGGAGAGAGTAAACACTCGGCCACTTGGTTGTTCTTGTCGATAGTCTTGAGGCGTTAGTGGAGCTGTTTGAACTGGGAAGAAGCTCAACATTACGTAAGACCCTTTGCTTAGTACATATTCACGCTTTAGGGACGAGTTTCCATCGGCCGCGTAGTGTAGTGGTTAGCACGCAGGATTTTGATTCGTACAAACTTCCTGAGACCTGAGTTCAATCCTCGGCGGGGCCTATCACAAACATAAATTTCACAAACATAAATTAACTTTTTGCATGATTCCCTAATTTTGCAGCGCATAGATGATGGTACACTTTAAATTTGAATGCAGATTTATTTCTATGTGAATAATTCTTCTATTCGGGAAGCATTCATTAACAAGATTTTGCGTCCTTACATCTGTCGTATTTTTAACTATTCGATGGATGGAGGATGATTCTCTACTACGGATCAACGAGGGTTGAATTGTTTCTGTTTGAGAGCTATGCTATATTATATAGGCAGGCAGAGATACGTTCAAGTCCTGCAATGTCAGATTCCGAAGCTTAGGTACCACCTGACATAAACGACGGTGTTAGCTCAACCGAGGGGTTCCGATACGGAAGCTGCAACGGCGGGGCAGTAGGGACTAGCTATGGTGGGGTTGAGCACATCATCGCTGCTATTCGGCATCTTACCGCACTTACACCGTGGTATTCTCTTATAGCTAACCTAGTCTATTTCATAAACCTCGCACCTTTTTCTATTCCCCTTAAAGTTTCTACTTGAGACTACCTTATGCCCATCCTGCGAACAGGTCTCTCCACGCTTCGGCACCTAGGACGCTTCACACTCTCGTCTTCTCCAAGAGCAACTCTCTTACAACCCCTCCATAACCACCACATAAGCCTCGTCAAGAGAAGCGCCATGTCCTCAGCTGTAGCAAAGCGCCTTGAGGGCAAGACCATCGTGATTACCGGTGCGTCGTCGGGCATTGGGCGTAGTACTGCGCTCGAGTTTGCGCGGACCTCGCCCAAGGACCTAAAGCTTGTCGTCACGGCGCGTCGCATCGAGAACTTGCGTCAGCTCGCAGACGATATCGCAAAGGAGGTCGGCTCCGGCGTCCGCGTCTTACCCGTCAAGCTCGACGTAAGCAACGCCGATGAGGTCCGCGGCTTTGTCGCCGGCCTGCCTGAGGAGTTCCGGGATATCGACGTGTTGGTGAACAATGCGTAAGTGCCTGTTTTCATTACTGAACGAGGATTTACCTTTAGTATTTGATATATACATGGAAGCAACTTTGCGCCCATCAACTAACCGTCCTAAAACCAGCGGCCTTGTTAAAGGCGTAGCACGCGCTCCTGAGATTGCCGAGGAGGACATTAACGTTATGTTTGCGACCAACGTCACAGGCCTGATCAACCTGACCCAAGCTGCACTGCCCATCTTCCTTAAGCGGCCCGACGGTGGCCACGGCGACATTATCAATGTTGGCAGCATCGCCGGCCGCGAGCCGTACCCGGGCGGCGGCATTTACTGCGCGACCAAGGCTGCTGTCCGCAGCTTCACTGATTCCTTGCGCAAGGAGCTTGTCGCTTCGCGTGTCCGTGTCATTGAGGTCGATCCCGGCCAAGTCGAGACCGTATGTTGAACATTCCGTTCCACACAATGGCAGTGGAATATGCGGCTATTCCGGTGCTAATATGATGATCTCTTAGGAATTCTCCCTTGTTCGATTCTACGGCGACAAGAGCAAAGCTGATGCTGTCTATGCGTAAGTAACCACATTCAACTGATTGACCACCTATACTGACATTCCAACTAGTGGAGGCGAGCCACTAACACCTGATGATATTGCCGAAGTTATCGTATTTGCTGCTGGCAGGAGGGAAAATGTCATAGTAGCGGACACCCTCATCTTCCCTAACCATCAAGCCAGTCCCTTTGTAATTCACAAGAAATCATAGAAATTTAGATAACATGAGACTTATATTTCATCTACCAAAATTTACGGGAAGAGAAGAGGCAGTACCAGGGGCAAACACGCCATAATAATATATTTGAATCCAAATCGTATGCCTTATCTTAGGGTCTAAAAAACAAGAACTCTACGGGATAGACTGCATCCATAGCTCGATTGGGCAACTATGGGCTTAACCACGTTCAATATGCATCTATTGCTGAGAAAAGTCAGCGGGGACTATGCACGATGTTTTAAACTACGAGATAGCTTGCGCGTAAATGAGTTCAGACAACCGGTTTACTCATTCACTTGAATCGGCCTTCGAAATCTATGCCTCAAGACGAAACACAGAAGTCGAAAGCACTGAAGCAATCATAACATCCGACAAACCCTAGCAGAAAGCCGGGTTGCCAATGGACAACTCCACAACCAATCCTCGCATATCCAGAAGGATAGGCTATGGTGCGGGAGGGAAGCTCGACTCGATGTGAGATAGTTGAATGGATAAACAGTTTTCATCATGACAGAACGCGCCACGTAAGGAAGTCCATCGTAACTTACATTTAATAATACACTGGATGCAGGCTGGTTATATCGAAGGTCAGGTCTAGGATACGGCTTTACTATAAACTGCTTCTCTGTTAGCTTGTGCTATTTCCAAGACTCAAGAAGAAGATAGTGGGTATTTAATCAGAATATATTTTTGGTATATGGGTATCATCACAGTGCTTCAGAAGCAGAACTGATAAAAAAGGATTCATCATGGACAAGAATAACAACAAAGAAAATTTCAGAGCCCGCTTACCTTAGCTGCACATTACTGGTCGCGATTCCTGTTAGAATCCAAGCCGCAGAGTACTATTTTTCCTGAGGAGACAATTAGTCAAAGAACTAAAGATAATAATGACAATTGCAATGGCTAATTCATGCTTCAGATGGTAGTGCATGTTTGTTCAGTTGCTCAGGTGATCGCGGAGAACAGTGGAATTGAATTCATCAATAGCAGAACGACCTACTAAGAAAGAAAAGTCTGTCTAGGGGTCGAAAAGGAAGGTAAATGAAACTTACCAAAATATTTGCAGAGGTCGGGTTCGAAATTCCAACCATCAGCGACGGTGGACTTAGATTTACCAAGTAAAGTCGTCTTGTATACTGTCGCCCAGTAAATGGGGAACCTCTTTAGGACTGCTTCTCAAGTCCAACATTGTTGTAAATCCACAACGACTATGGCTGACTGTGATTGTAGACACATGCATTGGGAGTGGTTGAGCATCAAGTTCTTGCTTGCATTTTTTTAAGAGGGTGCGAAGAAAGAAATTTCGTTTTTGATGTTGGGTTCAAAAAAAAAATATTCGGAGAACGGAAAATTGATGACCGATTGGTCAGTGCTTCAAGAAGGTGCAGAGCGTAGGGATTCGTGGGGTTAGGTACCTAGGTACCTAGTGGGTATGGTGGGGCAGTTTTGCGCTTAAGGTCGCATGGAATTTTCAGTGCTAATAGGTCGTAAGCTTTCTGCAAGCTCATTGAAGTGCGACATCTGAAGCTTCTTAGCAACAAAACACTTAGGAGCGCTATACCTTTCCCACCATGGCCGACCGGAGACGAATCAATGGCCCAGTAAGCCAGACGACCCCTCCCGTCTATGATACGCCTCAAGGGAAAAGGGTAGCAAAGCGACCGGGCGATAATGCCGTTCGAAAGATCTGTAAGTCGCCTTGTTGTCGTGAACGTATTAGCTATCTAATTTGAATTGCGTATAGTTCTGAAAACAGGAGTCACTCCTTCAGCTTCAGGATCTGCATATCTGGAAATCGAAGACCCATTTGCGACCCGTCCTTCAGGCACGAGCTTGAAGCTTACCTGCACTGTCCATGGACCTCGAGCACTTCCGCGATCAGCGCCTTTCTCTCCTCATATTATCCTTTCGACGCACGTCAAATATGCACCTTTCGCGACGAGACAAAGACGAGGCTACCTACGCGATTCGAGCGAGAGGGATCTCGGAGTCCATCTGGAAACAGCATTACGAGGCGCAATTATCGCCGATCGTTGGCCTAAAAGTGGTGTTGACATCATCGTCACAATAATTGAAGGAGACCAGAACCGTGACTCTCCTGATTACGATAGAGATGAAGGTTGGGATATGATGAATGTCTTGAGTGGCTGTATAACCGTTGCCTCTGCGGCTATTGCGGACGCTGGCATTGACTGCGTGGATACTGTCGCAGGAGGCGTTGCGGCTTTAGCAGCTCAGGACGAGAAGAGCCAGCCAAGCATCGTCCTTGATCCGGATGTTGCCTCATATCACAAGATATTTGCAGCGTGTTGCGTCGCGTACCTACCGACAAGGGATGAAGTAACCAACGTCTGGTTCAAGGGCCAACTGCCCGCTGCGGACGCTATGCTCTACAACAAAATGGTCGAGAGAAGCCTTATAGCATGCCGCAATGCGAACCGCGTCCTCATCCAGGCTTTAAACGAGACGGTTGATCAAGGGAAAAAGGTCTCTTAAGCTAAACTAGCCATGGCGTAGAGCATCTACCAACCAGCGGATATGGATCCAAATTGGGAGGTGACTTCAGGGATATGATAGTAACCCCTTCCCAAGAACAAGTCATTTTTACCCAGATAAATTCCCACGGCGTCTGTTACATGCTGTTAATAGTGTGGCCACTTAACAGGGTCTTCTGGAAGGAAAGGGCATGCCATGATGACAGGCGGCAGAAGCTAAAGATGTTAGCAAAAGTAACCCGTTACTCGTGGTTATTACGAATCCGTAAAGTGGATCGTACCTAATGGACGTTGGCGTGAATAACTGAGCTGCCGAGGTCTTAAATATCTCTTGCTTGCGCGCTAGTGTTTTAGGTATACCGAGCTTAAAATATAGGTGCGGTGGTGTGCGAAGTAGAGCTATGTATTCATGAACTACCTTAGGTACTTAACCTCTGTAATATAAGAAGCACTTTTAAGTGCTTAAGCTACATAATCAATTAGGTAATATGCATCAACTTCAACAGATAGGTATCTACGGAATACCTTAGGTACATAAGCTGACTAGAATCTATTTTTAGCACTTCTGGAACTACCTGTATGTCGTTAGGTACCTAGATTGGGTACCTAGATTGGGTACCCATGTATACCTATGTATGTAGTACAGACAAAGATATGCACCTACCCGCTAATTTACCTGATGTTAAGGTGTGATGGCAGGAGCGCCGCTTATTGATAGCCGTTGAACCTTGTCTAGATTCTGGAACACTTCGGATATCGTCTCTTTAATACCAACTTAAAACTTACATACTTCCATACACACATACCTCACACATATATATGTAAATACTAAAAGAAACCCACGACAACTCAACAAATGTACGCATGACGGGGAAGTCGTCATGTGTTTGCAGCGAGTACCTATGCATTGGCTAATTCGAGTGTTTCGGAGCTTCTGAATGACCTAATTACTGTCCTCTCTGATTGGAAGCAACGTGCCTAAGTCAGATCTCGTCGCGGGCGATTCGGAGTTATTGGCCGCCTCTCGCATACCCCAGATAAATCTCCCCAGCTAAATGGCCTCTCCAGGCGCGACCGCCGTCCCGGCACCTACGTTCCTTGATAATTCAAGCATCTGGCATAACTTCACTTCTTGGACGGCCCAGCACCTCAGGTATTCCGTCAATAACGTAACCAGATTCGCACCGTCGCTTGAGGACCTGATTCTTGCTGGGCCTAGGATGTTGACCAAGCTTGGCATCATATCCTTTCCCGATGCTGTTGACGGCTTTGGGCAACGAGTCATAGCCGACCCAACGACATCCGACTTTTTTCTCCCGACGACTACCGCCGCCCATATGCTTACCCAAGCTTCCGAAGCTGCCGCTAATGTAGCAGAAGTATTAGAAAACGAAGATCAGGACCCCGCCGTATTAGTCTCCAAGTTCTCTGCCGATGGAACGAAGGGATTAGGTAGCGTCTTTAGCTATGCTACGAGCAAGTGGGCGCTCTGTTGTATTGCGATGGTCTGTTTCCCTCTTGTTTCGACGTTGAAGCGATTTCTGACGTCTAGCACTATTGCAGGCTATCATATTAAACCGTACACACATATTTGCAGCTTCTCGAAGAAGGTTGTATCTGACATGGCCCGTACGACTCTTTCTCCGCTTCCTACCTATCATTCTCTTCGCATACCAAGCTCGGCAACTCCTACAGTCCATCCAGTGCCAAACTTCGCCCGATTTCGCCGAGATGCGTTGGGGTAACGCCAGCAAGACATCAGATCTTATGTTCGCACAACCCTCCACATATTTACATGGGCTCAGTACGGTCTTCCTTTTGGGCGCTACCGACTATGACAGCTGCCGCGCTGTTGAGATGGTCCCTCCAAACAATCACGATTTTTCAAATGAGCTACATGGCTCCTTGTCCCTACTGTGGCCACTTTTCGGGACTCTTTGCCTGAGTCATTTCCTAGAAACGATTTCGTGCGCAGTGCAAGGACGTCAAGTGGCTGTCGAGACCGGCATGACCCTTTTCGAGCACTCACTGGCGTTTGCCGAGGCCGACGCTGCTATTAGCAACCAACTCGGCTGGGGTTTATTTTCAAGTGGTAGTAGTTCCAATGTGACATTCCAACAGGCTTCAGGGGCCAGCATCGCCGTTTCCAGATCCATGATAATGAAGAGGGTCAATACGCCCCCTGAAGTCCTTCTAGTGGCTTTCCTCTCAGCCATGAGCCATATTACTAGCCACGTTCTGGGTGTCTTCAATCTACAGAGCCGGTACCGATTAGTTAGTACGGGGTTTTGGGCCATCTGCTTTATGGGAAGCATCGTGATAGAAGCTTTAGATTTTTCTGTCGACAGTCCGTCAACCATGGGTCTTTTTAGGTTTCCTACCGTCTGTATCATAGGTTTTATCCCCCATCTTCTGGTATTTACGGGTACTCTCGCGTGTCTTGCTATATATGCTATTGCTTTGGTCCTTTCGGCGATGCAGCCCCCGGATCGGTGGAACGTCAATGGACGGGTTTTATCGTTCCGAGAACGATTGGCACACGCGCATGAGAATATGCAAGCGAATATTTCGCTCTCCGATATTCGGATTTCACGAGAAATGGACTTCTATACGGCGCTGCTTCGAACAGGTTTTAGTGTCATCACGATGGCGAGTGAAGCGGTCTATCTAAACGAAGACCGGGGCATCAACTTAAAAAACCGCACATGGCTCGAAGAAGAAAGGCTGAGGGAGCTCGAGTCTATACGCATGCAATGGGCCGGATCAGGTCTGGGTGCTTCCCGATACGATTCTGTCGGAGCTATCGGACTGGTGCCAATCAAGGACGGGCAGCTTGGAGCGTCAAGTGGATATGCACGAGAACGAGCAGCTCAGACAATTCCCAAAACGCGCATCGGAGAAAAACGTGCTAGGGATGGAGTTGGAGCTACCGAGCGTAGTTCGCGTTGGCTTCTAGCCTTGGAATTCATCATGAATATCAACAGGCTTCTGCTGCGATGGGGCGCGGTGCTTCTTCTGAAAGCCTTGACGCGTTTTGGGATTACAGCCCGACCTCGTATCTTAGTCTGGCTTTCTCGCTGGCCGAAACAGGATAATAAAGACGAGAGAAAACCCCCCGCAGAAGCGCATTCACTGCTGCTGGGCCGAAATAGGAGGAGCAATAGGCTCTATAATGACGAGACCGCCGACGTGGAGGCCGAAGTACGAAGACGTCTTAGGATGGCCCCCGAGACGGCTAATATGCCGGACGAGGAGCTGGACACAAGATTATACAATTCATGGAAACATGGCGATTTATGGGGATCCGTGGATACGAGCGGCGATTGGGAGCCGGATGAAAACGATAGCAATTGGGATACGACGAGCATGATACATAGTATCGCTGGCGATGAAGATGAGCAGGGCCAATGGGTTGATGAGGATGAATTCGAGGAAAATGACGGGCAGAGGACGCCCACACAAGCATCTCAGCACTTTTCGCTCTCCCGGGAGACAACTCCTTTTGACCAGCCCTTAGCCATGGGCGATCTTGCCAGGCTGCTTCATCCCAGAAGCCCAGAGGAGCGTCGCGAAGCCCACGCCCTTGCCGCCCACCTGAGTAGTGATCAGATTATCACGCGCTCTAAGTACGCGCGCATGCAGCAAAACCAGCGCGGGCGCCTCTTCTTCCCACAGCGGCCCAGTAAAGGCAAGCTCTCGGACGAGGAGGAGGCCGAACTCCTCGAGGACCTGATCATTACGAGGCGGACCGAAGCCGCCCGTGAAAGTGAGCTGCAAGATGGCAACAACAGCGACGACGGTAGGGGCGGGCCTCAGTGCGTTGTATGCCACTCATCCCCCCGCAAAATTATTGTGTGGCCATGTCGCTGCCTCAGCCTCTGTGACGAGTGCCGCGTCACTTTGGCAATGAACAACTTCGATAAGTGTGTCTGCTGCCGCAGGGAAGTCGTCAGCTTCAGCCGCATATATGTGCCCTGACGACTATGTTCCCTTCTCCAAGCTTTGGTCAAGGCGGGCTCTTTGTCTGTAATATCCCGTCGGTTCTCGACCCACTTGTACGGCACGCAAGTCCTTCCGCATCCGTCATTTAGCAACCAGCATTATTCAGCATTGTCCTCCATGAACGATCACCTTTACTTCAAAACCCGCACGGCAACTCATCAAAACTGGCGTCGAGGCGAACTTTATCTATGAAACCTTTCTGTCTAATCAGTTCCCTATGATGCCCCCCGCCTTCATTGGTTCTAAGATGTCGGATTGTAATAACGAGAAGAAGGATGAGGAATGTGACGGAGACGAATGTAAAGCGATGAGGGAAATCATGTTATAGCGAGGGGATACAGTAACTCGATGGTGTGATTTCTATGACCTGGCCTCTTTATTTATTTATTCATTACACGCTCGGAGTTCTGGTCTGATTAGGGGGGTTTCACGGGTGTGGTATGCATTAGGTACATAGTTATACTAGGTAACCTGGTTTAGGGGGTATTCATTCAATTCTACAAACATGATCTGAAGAGGGTTGCTGCATTCATGTCAAGAATTCCCCGATGCATATGCAGAATAAGTCGATATTGCTCTTTCAATAAGATAGTAGCTGCTGTAAACAAGTATGGACTAACGACTACGACAGCATCCTGCTCAGATTCAGGTACATATCTACATGGCTGCCCATTCTATACAGAAAGCCCTGGCTCGCGGAGCTTTGGGATTTTCATCTATCCCCTCTTTCTTTTTCTGATGCTCATCCGTATCATCACCTACCACAGCCCCACCAATCAGATACCCCTTCTTGACATTCGTACCCAGCCGTCCGCCGGCCACAAGATCAAGGACAGCAATCTCTTCTTCCCAACCGTAACTGGCGGCCTGGAAGTGACTGTGGAAACGTAGGGGGTCACCGGGGTACACGTTGTAATCGCAGCCGAAGCGCAGGCCGGGCATCATGTAGTAGCCGCGGTCCTGAAGGTGCGCGTATAGCGGGTACGAGGGCGGTACGTTCACGGAGGCGGAGAAGGGGAAGAGTCCTTGGGGAGGAGCAAGGGGGGGAGAAGGGGGGAGGATGAGTCTGCTTGTTGTCGGTGTTATTGCGAAGGCGGGGGGATCTTCTGCTTGGGAGAGTTGGGTGTGGGAGGGGACGCCACTTGACGGTGGCGGAGAGGGAGGACTGAAGAGACTTGTGCTGGTCTCGTCGTCTGTTTCGAGGCTTGCCTCGTTTTCTGAAGTCTTTGGCTTGGCTTTTACTTTCTTAGTAGCAGTAGTAGTAGTAGTAGTAATCACTTTTGGCTTCGCGCTCAGCTTGCTCTCCACAGCCGCCATCTGCGCCTTCCTGCCCTCGGCTTTGACAGACTGCAGGTATCTTCTGCGCGCGTCGTCATCTAGAGTAGCAAGGCGCGCGGGATGGAACGCGGCGTCGTCTACGATGTATGCTACATTCTTGTCAACGAGGACCTGGGCCTCCTCAGGCATCAGCTCGATAGGCAAGCCCATGAAGATGTTCTGCTGGGGATTCTGGGGAATCGTCCCGACGAACACGGAGCAGATGTTGTGGTTCTTGCGCAGGTGCATCACGTCGTCTATGTCGAAGAGCAGATACCGCCCCGCGACTTTGGATATCCTCACGGGAGGCCGGCTTATCGTAGAAGAAGCCATCTCCACGGAGAACAGAAATATCTGTTTGCTTGAGAGTCAGCGTTTGTACTGGCAAAACTTGTCATATGCAATGTAGAATAATTTGGGTGATCATATTTTTCCAGATAGAAGGTTGTCAACATTGTTATTTCAGTGGATTGACAGATTATTGATTTTTGTAATCATTTCGATATAGTGTTCTGAGTAAAACGAAATTATCGACTTACCTGTTGTGGTTGTTGAAGATTGAAAGAAACCAAAAGCTTTTTTTTTTCCGTCGAACTTGGAGAAGTCGACGAAAATTTGGAGAGCTCTAAGTGGGGTCTGATACAGTGTGCACGTCTGACTTATAGATTCGCACTGTAACCGCTATACTTATACATCTCAGACGAATTTCAGAACTTCAGAATTCCATGCTTCCTTTGCTAGAATCTCCTTTCTTTCTTTCCTCTTCGTCCTCCCCGACAGGAGGCAAATAGAACGGTTTTATTACCAACCCCTTAGATCGACTCAAGCTAAACGACAGATCTCCATGGGCAGCATGGCCCTCAGAAGAGCCGCCGCCTTTTTCGTGGAAAATCGGTAGACTATGGACTTTAAGAAGTCCCTGCGTCTGCTCCTCTGATTTTGAATCCGACTTTGAAGACGGGGGAGGGGCATGAACAGCGCTGGACTGGAGCGGGATAAGTTCGAAAACACCGTCGGATAATATTTCCATCCAACGTGTAAGTCCTGTAGTCCTAGGGTAAAGCGATAGCGGCAACGTTATAATAGCAGTGAGCTTGCCAGGGTGCTGCCTTAATAACGCTCTAAGCGCATGTAAAAACTGCAAGACTTCTTCGGGCCGAGCAGACGAGCCAGCGTATCCCGTCGGGGATAAGAGACTCGGTACTATGACGCGATGGATCCACGACGACGGCGAATTTGCTAGTTTATGACCTACGTTCTTGATGAACAGCTTGAAAGGCGACGTTGACTCTTTTGTGTGGGAAGGTAGACCCGGTATGCTCATGGCAGGGTGAAAGCCAATTTGGCCCTTGACGTTGGTAGGACTGAGTCTTTTGGTGAGGTCGAAAGAATGGCAGAAGATAGAAGTAGATTCAGTCGCAGAATTACTTCGCCTCTGGGCTGCATTTCTATCCCTCGGGGCTCCCCCAGACGACAAGCTTTCATATCTCCAAGCTATCTTCATCTTGTCATCCGAGGGAGTCTCCGACTTGCTTGATGACTTCTTGTCCTCGGTTGAAATGCCCGGGAGCTCATGACGCCAGCTTTCATGTAAGCCGAGGACATGGATTTGATGCCCCTGAAGCATACCCTCGGCGGCATAGTAACGGAGAAGTATACCAGCGAAGTCGGTAGTGCCATGCTCTCCGATAAGAAGCGATGTGCCTAGGGGTAAGCCAGCATGCCCGGCAAGTAGACTGTCTAGAGATGCGGTTCCAGTAGATGTAGTTGGTCGGCCATCAACAAGAGACGGTCGAACTCCGGGGATAGATACATTTTCAGTCTTGGATGGGGCTGACTGAGATGAAGTTGAGCTGCTAATCACAGCATTTCTTTTCCTGAAGGACATGACGACGGCATCAGGTTCGTAAGATGCCTCAATTTTATGTAATTTTATGTATTAGGTTATTAAGTCGAGGTAGCGAGTGAAAATGGTGTAGTTTATTGGTATATGCATTTGGGCTTCAATTTGGGGGGGAAGGGGGGGAAGGGATGGAATACCTAAAGCTGGGCAGCTTATCTCCAATTTCGGTTGGATTAGAAAGTATTTTCTGAGCCTTTTTCGGTGCATATGTACATATCCCATTAGGTACATACCTAAGTTTCGTGCGTCACAAAGGCGTTACTGCGTCACACGCCCTCTTTGAGTTTTTACTAGTTAGGTACCATAGCGGAAATGGGGGGTTTCAGAGAACTGTTCTTTATGGGGAACGGTTCCCTATTAGGGAACGTTCCCTTGATTCCCGGCATTTTATTGGCTGAAATCCAGGAATAGTGGGTCCCGGTTTTTAAAATTTTACTACTGCCGTTCGATACGTATAAAATCGTTCCCCCTAAAAGAACCGTTCCCTTTTTGGGAATCATTTCTATCAATTTTGGTTAGATTCTACTTAGAAAAAAAAAATTTTTTTTCTAAGTAAAATTTTTATAATAAAATATAATTATTGAAGTAAAGGTTATAAGGCCTAAAAACAATTGAATTTTTAAAAATAATTCGATGAGATTGGCCACCTCGTCCCATTAGCTCAATTGTTAAAACTTTAAACCCCACTATGGGATTTAACGTTACACAAATGTAAAAGCTGTGGGTTTGAGGACCACGCTTTTTAACTTTTTTGACTTTTTTGACTTTTTTAGCCTTTTTAGCGCCTTTTGGACCCACTTTTCAGGGAATGCCCTCAATTTTGAGAACGTTCTCCTTTTGAGAATCATTCTCATATAGGGAACGGGGCAGCTGTTAAGGTGTGCATAGATTATAGGGAACGCTTTTTAATTATAGAACAGTTCTTCGTACCCACCCTACCCCGCTATGGTACCTATTAATTAATCCCTTAAAAAGATTTGTTTTTTTAGCTCCTAGCAGAGCCGCAAAGGTCCCCTGTAAATACAAGGCTTCACCGCTTTCAGTGGACACCCCGCATCAACGGCGGAATTCCATTTAGAGCTTCCATTGAGAAAAGAAAAAAAGCGGCCGCGCCAAAACTCGATACTTCCGTCTCGTCCTTCCCACTTCCCACCTCCCAACCCGATACGCCGCCACACCCATTCAACAAATCCATCTAGAAACCAATTGCCCAAACCAAACCAAATCAAGCCAAACCAAAAATAACCCTTCCCTCAATATGTCGAACCTCGCAGCGGGCGACGCGCAGCTCTTCGAAGACACCTTCACGGTGACGACCTACGACCAATCCAAATACGACCGCGTGGCGCGTATCGGCGGCACGTCCACCGACAACCTGACGACGATGCAGCTCGACATCAACATCGAGTTGTTCCCCCTCCGCGTCGGCAGCAACATCGAGGTCGTGCTGGCTACTAGCCTGTCGCTCGACGGCACCAAAGACGAGGAGGAAGAGAAAGGGTGGCGTCACGTTCGCAACGAGTCGTCCCTCGCCGACATGTACGACTACGTGTGCCACGGCAAGATCTACAAGTTTGAGGATGGTGTTGATGGTCAGACTATGTATGTATGCGACTTCTCTTGCCCTGCTATTTCCGTTACCTTTTTCCCTTCCTTATTTCCCGTGTAATCTTCACATTTTCTGCTTATCCCGGGCAGTACTAACATGGCTGCAGTCGCGCGTACATCTCGTTTGGCGGCTTGTTAATGATGCTGGAGGGTCCCTATAAGAAGTTAACGCCGTTGCGTGTCGACAACACCTACCTCCTAGTTAAGAAATGATTTGCTATTGCATAGCACTCTTTACTCGCCCATCGGCGAGACCACGGCTGATTCACGATTTAATGTGAGTTACATATAATCTGGAGGCCAACGTGTAGAGAGGATGGTTATTGCATATTACAGCTACGCTTGAGATACCAATGAACGCTTATTGCGGCCAAATCATGAACTAGAGCTATTCTACTAGTAAGTCGTGGCCAACGACACCTGGATCGCTAGTGGGATATTGAAAAGGGGAAAGGCAACTAAGAAGTTGGTTGACCAACTTGATGGGGGCCCGGGAAAGGTAGTTTGCGATGTAACCGGCTCACTATCTCGTCATAGTCGGGCTCGTTCTCTGGTGTCAGGATCTTGTGGCGGATGAAGAAATCGACTAGGATGAGAGCGCAGTTAGGCTTGAACTTCCCCTGAGCCAGTTTCTCTCGCACCTCCTCGACCGTCCACGTGTAAAAGCCTGCAACCTCGCCGTCCTTGGGTGTAGGGACAAAGTCCGCAGGTAGTTCGATATCGTAGACCCATTGGGTCTCAGGATAAATCTGGCCAGCCTCACCGCCTGTTCGTTCGTCTGTGATGTAGATGTACGTGACCATGCCGATGAATTTGGCTCGCTCGCGCATGAGCGATTCGGGTAGATCGGCTTCCTCGTCCGCCTCTCGGATTATACATTCGAAGGGGTCTTCCCCAGTCATAAGACCGCCCGCCACAGAGTTGTCTAGCATGTTGGGATACGTAGACTTGTTAGCTGCTCGTTGAGCCACCAATATCTTCATGCCGTAGCTCGCCGTGTCATCCTTGACGAAGGCTGTCATATGCACCCCGTAACGCATGATTCCTAGCAGGCCTGTTCCACTGCGCTCAGCGCTGTACAGGACCTCATCATTGCTGCCGTAGACGGGCCATAGTTCGTTCCGCCAGCCCTTTAATATATCATATGTATGATTTTCCCGCCAATACTGCATTAAGCGAGCCACAAGCGCAGTTCTTTCGGCTTCGGTTGGTAGCTCGAAAGCACGCACGGTGCGTTTGGCTTCATCCACAGTTACGGGACCGCGGATTTCTTCTGGTGTAGCGAGGAGCTGTGTAACGACGGAATCAAGCATATAGCCAAGAGGCTGCCCATCCTTCCAGACCAGCGTGTATAGCGTGTCAGTGAGAGCCTTGCATGCTTGAGGTTCCTTGTCTGGGTAAGGAAAGCTACGCTCTCGCAAATTGTTTAGTTCTATAGTCTACCGCTCTTTTTATAAGAGAGGCTTTAACTTACGCATCAGCCTCCTTTATGATATCGAGGCTACTCATTAAACGCGGCATCTCGGCTAATGCGTTCGGAGTGAGTTGAGTATTATTCTGTTCTCCTGGAAAAGATAGCAATGACTCGCTTGGGGTCTTTTTATAAGAGGTTCAAGTCGTAGATGATACTCAAATTTCTTTGCTGTAAATTTGCTTGCTGCCTGGTGCCTCAAAAGACTATTGTTAAGTAGGTAGACATCTTGACATGTCTTTAAAAGATTTGGATACTACATGCATGTACCTAGTTAGACTAAATGCTAAATGAGCAAGATCCAATAGCGTTGTCTCTTTTGTGGAAGTACCTTCTTCACTATCTGCATGTTCCTGCCCAGAATTGGGGATAGCCTTGTAAAGGTGCATTCTAGATTTATATAGGTACCTAGGTTACATTGGTGTAGGTAGCCACATTAGGAGGTACCGGATGCGGATGCAATATGTATGCGCATTTCGCAAAAGTCTTAGCGCACATGCATCTCTGCCCCTCCACCACTCCATGCCACCTGATGACGTTGAAATTTAGCAGGTACCCAAGTAACTTTCTGAAGCTTCCAGCACCGTATCCCGAATTCTTGTACCTTTGCTTCCTCCATGTCACAACCCATTTCACCGCGAGGTGGTTGAACCCTCCTAGGGTCCCAGATCAACGACGTGACGGAACGTCTTTTCCTAAGTCGTCTTAGGCACCAATTAATCACCGGTTCAGCCGTAAACAATCGTTGGAGATCGAAACAAAACAAAAAATAGAGGTCGGATTACATACATACCTACCTACCTGCAGGCAAGGGAAACACAATGGCGCAACAACAGCCAAACCAACCGCTCTTCGGCATCGTCCCAGCCGGACAGCCGCTTATTACCGTGCCGTCCTCCCAGCCCAGCGCCACGTCCTTCCTATACGCGATCCCGCACCCCGCGCCCTCCCCCGCGAACCCCGCCCCGAAACCCTTCGCCCACCTCGCCGTCTTCCTGCTCCCCGGCACCACCCTCCCCGGCACCACCCTCCCCGCCGGCACCGCCGCTGCCATCTACGTCGCGCTGAACCCGACCGCCCTAGCTAGCGGGCAAGAGGAGCCCAAATTCAAGTTCCTGGGGGGCGTGGGGCCCGGCAAGGAGAGCGCCGTGTTCAAGCTCTCTCCACCACCTTCTTTTTCTTCTTCTTCTCCGAACCCCGAGGGCGTCATAATCGGGATCAGCGTAGAGGACGCATCGTCTGTAGCCGAGCGCATCCAGCAGCTGCACGCGGCTGACTCGGGCGGAAACACGATACAGCAGCAGCAGCCGTCGACGCAGATCTTAGCCCAGCGCATAATACAGAACGCATTCAACTTCCTCGCCGGGTTCAGCGGCAAGGTGGGCGCCGAGGGCGTCGAGGTCGTGCCTCTAAAGGCCTTCCAAGAGTGGTGGCGCAAGTTCGAGAACAAGGTCCGGAACGACCCTACGTTTCTCGAGAGGGAGCAGGATTGACTGCAGGAGTTGTTGCCGGGCCGGTTACCTAGTTACGATCCAGAGGGAGCAAGTATTCTCCTCGAAGTGCAGATTTGGGTCCTACGTATATTGCATTGGACGTTAGAAACAGGGGAGATGGGGGGAAGAGGGAGGGAAGGGTAGCAGACTTCTACTTCTGCTGGCTGTTTTAATATTTGCCTCTTGTAAGGTGTAGGCCGGTCTAAGAGGTCCAATATAAAAGGCTGGATATATTCTTCAATAGAGAAGGACAACGCCACGGTCACCTCTGAGCTATACTCAAGTGGTATCGGAATAGATAAAAGCTATTGCATATCTAAAAAGGGATATCTCAAGTCTCATAAGCCTTTAATTTACTGCACATAATCTCACGCTAAATACACTTCACCAGTCGAGTAAGATCACTATACAACTATATATATCAATGGCGTACCTAACCACGCGTGGCCACCGGTACGGTAAGCCGTGTATGAATATTTGATAACTGCCTCCCCATATGCAACAACAAACGTGCCGAGCTATGAAGGTATCTACTAAGAATCCAATATGCTTTTACTCGTCAACCCATATATCGAGGCCCGTCTCAGGCATAATACATAAAAATCCGTCACTACCGGAACTCCTTTCCCATGTAACCCTGTCCTGGGTAACCCCGAACCTGTATCCCTACAAGGAGTGTGCCGCCTGGACAATGCAAGGTGATTGCCCAGTACGGGTAAGAATAGAATATACAGTTTATTAATCCTCCGTCAAGGGGCTCATTAATGGGCTCTTAAGCCTCGTGGGACTGCCCGCTCGACTCCTCCGTCCAGCTGTTAACATTTGTGGAAACAGTCTCTCGCGACTTTCTGTTCGGACTACCAACCCGGACCGATCAAGCGCGTTTCCAGGATGTGGGTGCTTCTTAATGTCGTCAAAAGAATCGACATTAAGTTTTGGGGTAGCCAGGCCTGACGATCGACCGACTCTGGATGCTCCCCCGCTACTATCGGAATTGTCGCCTTCATCCGACGAAGCCTCGCCCAGTTCGAACTGATTGGCGTCACCTTCCTCCAGGACCCTTTCGTAGTTATAGGATCCGCGACCAAATAATTTGTGTGAGATAGCCGAGAGACCGAGGCTGAGTTTTCGAGGGCTGCCTGGACGGCGTCGGCGGCGTAGTACCTTGTTAACTTTACCATAAAGCCGCATCCGCCTATCTCGCTTTCGAAGCAGAAAAGCGATAAATAAGAAGATCAGTAAGAAGAAGAAAAGTCCAGATGTTGACTTCGATTTCGCATGGTCTATCAGATCTTCCGCCGTATCGCCCCAATCATCCTCACCATCGATTGCCGAGGACACATTAAAGCTGGATCCAGCGTATTGGAAATCAGAAGGGATACCTTTTACGTTACTCCCGAATCCCACAGGTTGACGATAGTTGTCCTTGGGTGGAATTTGACCGGCCGCGTAGAGCACCATCTTTCCTAACGTCCAGCTGATCTCGATATTATTAACTTCGTCAGCAGCTTGGAAAGGGTGTAAAAATCCCTTTTCCTTAGCAGCCTCTCCGATTCCTTTCGTGACGTTGATCCCTGGAGTTGGTGTATTCTCTATACCATATCTCGGTATACCGATACCCTCGTGCAATACACTAATAAGCCAGGATGCCTTGAAGCAGGCTTCCTGGGCTTCCTTTCCGTGATCCTTCTTTCGCGCTTCGATATTCGACTCGATATCTTCCCAATGCTGACTGCAAAATTCTAATACCTTCTTCTGATATGTGTTGAAATCATAGGCCGTGTCATCGTCTTTATTTCCGAACACGCCGTGCGTGGTATGCCAGTATTCAGAAACCCCAACGAAGTGATTTACATCGAAATCAATAGGCGGAACGTGCTGGCCGTTAAATAAGCATGGCTTGTCTTCGCACGGCATGTCTTTACCCAATAGCGGCTTCGTTCTCCGTAAACACTCGTCGAACTCACCCGTACCAACTAATTCCAGCTCTTTTGAATTCCCCTTGATGGCCTCGCCCTTGTCGTTGGTTCGCAATCCTCTTGGTAGACAAGGGTCGGGCACCTCGTGCTCCCCATCGATTAAAAATTCGTCGACCAAGGTTTTGACGTAGCGCTCGCGCGCCTGGTTGACTCCAAAACCAAGCCACGTTGATGTAAACACCTTGTATTCCTTGGGCTCGCCATTTAAGCTTCGCATTCGCAGTAACTTAAGATCATTTCCGTGTTCTTCGGCTACAGTGGCATTTGGCGCAAAAGCGATCTGCGCCGAAGCGCCACCCATGTCTAGGAAACCATAAGTATGGTGATTCTTTCCATGAGCATGCCCATCAGGATCGTCGAAGCCTCCTAGAAGATAATTGGCTGCTATCCATCCGTATAAACCTTCGGTCTCTCCGGGAATGACCTGAATGTGCGTATCGCAGTCGGGGAGAGAGAATCGGGTGTTGGCGCGGAAATACGAGCAAGTCTCGGTTATGACTGCTCTTTGTTGAGTAGGAGGCAATAATCGCATGCCAGCGGTGGCCATGAGGAATATCGGGGTATCGGCATGTTTATCGTCGGGGATGACGTCCAGTGCTCGCTCGACCAGTTCCTGTAGGTGATCGGGTCCAACGTCTTCTGGGTGGTCACCAAAAGTTGAGATTCCTGGTCTAATCTTTTTTGTCCATTTATCTTTGGTTACGATATTCGGCAAGCTATGTAATTCTTGATAGGATGCTTCCTTGAGTGCTTTTGCAGGATCTAGCCACCGATATATATGTAGACGCGTCCCAGAGGAACCGGCGTCTAGAATGATACCCCATCTCCCTAATTTGTAGCAACTATCGTCAGCAATGTTGCGATGTGGACCTCGTGACGGTTTAGAGGGGAGGCTTACATCTCTTCCCCATGACGGTGGAACTGAGGGGAGCAAAAAGGTAGGCTCAAGACAAAACGGGGGGTAGATGCGCGATTGGTTGCGATGTTTGTTGTTTTGTTGGAATTTATCCAGTGTTAATATCGCAGCATGTCCTTAATATGCCTCGCTATGTGTGGGACGAAGAACGAAGAGCGCAAGGCTAATGATATGATTATAGTGTGGCGTGAGATGACTTGGTTTCAAGGTTTGTTTCAATTACGCGTTCTGGATTCTGCGTCAAAAAGCATAGGAGGTAAAGGTAGCTGATTAGGTTAAGGGGGTGCGGGTTCAACGAGATGCGATGCGATACAGGATACAGGGTACAGGATACAGGGTTTATGATAACTAGCGATAGTAAAAGAAGAGAAATGAAGAATGGATAAGTAACGAGTGAGAATAAGACGCTAGCTAGTAGATGAATAATAGGTGAATAAGTGCGCAAAGTCTATTGATTGATTTGTTTGAACGAAAGGCAACCTTTAGATAAGGTAGTGGACTTGGATGATAGATTTCTGGGACGACCCATGGAAAAGAAGGTTTCTTAACAATAAGCCTGCAGCAGCCAAGGAGCCCAGAAACGGAGGCGAGATACTGAGGCAGAGGCTGGCACTATGTACCTATGTAAATGCTGGTTCGATTTCTTTTTTTGGATTAGGATGATGGGACTGCTTATGCCAGCAGACCAATAGAAATGCTTTGTTGTAATCGTAATCAGTCCACTACGATATGTGATGAATGCAAAGTATCTTGCAAGTACCATCTGCCATTATCATGCGGAGTCCACCGAGACTTCTCCAATCTAATTTGTTAAACCCAGCAACGATTCCAACACGTGCTGAATACCTACCTACATACATGCACGAAAGAAGCACCAACTAGTTCAAACTCAACCTTATCAAACATAAGTAATCCGTTCATAACAATCAATTTATGGCATTTCGCACATATTAACAAGTATTATATGTGGTATATATCCCTTAGTATTGGTAACGCATCTTACTCCGTCTTAGTCAAAAACTGTCTTATGTCTATCACATGCATATAGCCGTTACTATTTACCACGACTATGTACATCATCCTACCACATTTATAAAAATAGCATAATCGACATGTCATTATTGGAGATGATACAAATCAAGTTGGATACGAACAGAACAGCCCAGACAGTTCCCCAAACATGTCGAATTCCAACCCGTATCGATGTTCGCAGCCAAGAACCGGTCCGAATATCTAGGTAGGTAAGTTCTTACAGATAAGATACGTTAGCAGTACTTGATAGATACTTGCTAATAAATTCGTAACATTATGCAGCTAGCACGGCACCATCCCGTTGGCAAGATACGGTAGTACTTGCTATCTGCTATCTGCTATCTGCTATCTGCAATAAATGAGCGTTGGCTTACCTATGAAAGACCAAAAATGAAATGGGGGCCGTCCCGCCCTACGTAATCTTCAAGTAGTTGCTGCTCAAAGTTTCTAGCGTACCTACATAGCTACAATAGTACCCAACTAGGTTACAATATACGCCAGTCGTTCGGGACAGGAGCTCTATAACTGACGTAACCGTCCCCTCATTTTTCCTCCAATGATTTAATCCTTCCCTCTCCGCTGCCGATCGCGAAACTGACCGAGCGAGTTTCATTCACTTGATAAGTGGTGTCCTTGTCTAGCCTCCGGATCTACTCCTGCTAGTCCCGGCAATGATCTTCCAGATACGGGTCTGGTATGCGGTCACAGGTGCACGTATCCGGACTACAACGTCTCGCATATTCTACAGGCTACGGGCTGCCGTCTCAGATAAAACACCACCTACCCATGATAGGTCTGACAGGCAGAAGCCCTCGCCCACACGTCTCCGGTTGGTTCAATATTGCTGCAACATCTAATAATTAACCTAGTACCTGTAGTGACCACAGAGATAAGCCCGCAAAGCTCGGTTTATATGCACGCATCAATATTTAGCTGAGAACTACTGAATATTGAACCGAGCTATTTTCGTGATACTCTATTGGGTATATTGTTAATAAGGCGGTTTAGAATGCCTAGGGAGGTACTAAAGTGTAGGTAGGTTGCAATGCAGTGCTTGATACAGGTACAATACCTACCTAGGTACACACTGAACTACCTACCGAGGTATGCAAGTTTAATCACTTCTCAATTATGCCACGCATTGTGAAGTGGGAGAGCCTCTAGCACTAGAGCTCCAGCTTATCTATAAAAAACATTGAAAGCTTCATTAACTGAAAACTACCCAAGTAAACTCAGACGAGTCTAGACATACTTGTCTTCAGGGGAGTACTACAAAGAAGGTTACAATATTGCCTATTAGCATTGTATATTAAGGTAGTTATAGCTACATAATTATATATAAGTTGTGAATTGCTTGTTGTATTCACCGGTTCAACACACCAAAGCCCAACCGGTGAACATATCTAAGCGCTCTAGAATATTCTTTTTGGGGGAATTGCTTTATTATTATTACAATAAGTTCAAGAGGTAATATCGCAACTATCGATAATTGCCGGTTAGAACACAATAAACGAGCTCGCCGCCTCCACAGATCGCCAACTCCTTCCGGATATCTATCTATATCTATTATATGTACTAGTAAGGAATACCATTGGTCATGAGCTGGAACTGGTCGTACACCATGGTACTGTAACTGCCCGCACTCCTCCTGACCAGGTCCCTCACGAAGTCGGCCGCCTCGCGCTCGGTACGCTCCAATACGAACCGCTCTTTGAAGAATTTGACACTCTCCGGCTTGAAGCATGGCAGCCCGCTCTCCATCATGAGTAACACGATCTGGCTCAGCTTCTCTGCATGCGGACGGCACGCCAAGAAAGATTTCACGCACAGCTCCTCGAACCACTTGAAGGCCTGGTGGTCTGTACCGCCTCCCATCACAGCCAGCATTTCACCCGTGAGCTTGAAGGGCGCACGCTCGAACCGCACACCACCGGGAGCGATATCAAAACAAAACCCGAAGTCAATGTGCAAAATATGGCCAGCGTCGTCGATCATGATATTACCGTTGTGGCGATCCTTGAACTGCAGGAGGAAAGATATTATGCTGTAAGCGGCCATGCTCTTTACGAAATTGTTACGCGCATGCTGGAAGCGGAGCGAATCTTCGTTGCCGTATTTGCTGATGAAATAGTCATATAGCCCGTTGACAGCTTCTCGGCCCAGCATATCTCGGGAAATTGAGTTTGGCAACACGTCGATAACACCACAGCCTGGAGCAGTAGCAGTCACACGGTAAGGGAACACATAGACATCGAGCCCGACGCTATGGAAGATACCGCGGAACGCCGCAATCATCTGCAAGGCTAACACATCTTGTCGACAGTCATCGCCAACCTTGAAGATAGCGCTCTGCCAGACCTCGATTGTAGTCTCAGCCGGGGGTTGGCCCGTCTTGCTCACCTCTTCGGCTACTTCTTCTGTTTCCTCCATGCCACCCTTCGCTTTTTGGATGCGGAATGTAGCCATGAATGGTGCCTTCGCGTGTGATTGGAGCGGTTTGCCAGATTTACGGTCAATGCCGATGACAACGCCATCAGGGTTACTGGGCAGGTAAACACCAACATCAACTTTAATCTTTCGAAGTTCTTCTTCGATCTTTTGCTTCTTCTCCGGTTTGTCGCGCTTGATTAAAGGCTTGAGTTTGCCAGATATGCTGGTGACCTCGTCAAAAAACGTAAACTCTCTCTCGTAAAAGTTTCGGTCCTCGTCAGAAAAGCTGTTGATCAACTTTTCCATCACTTTGTCGAGAGCAGGCTTTATGGCATCGGGCTAGCAGTATGTCAGTAGGAGGCTACTAGATTTTGGGATGACGAGACTTACAATCATAGCGTCGTCGTCTTTATAGGAGTTTGCCTTCATATTCCAGATAATCTGATGGGCGAACAATTGAGAGAACTGGGCTGTTTCAATAATGTAACGCTCCACGTAACCAAGAGCATCAAATCGAAGACCTTGTACAATTTGTGGTACATAGAAAAATGTTACATCGACTGAGTGATATTCCAGGGCTCTCATAGCATACTGGATCAAGAACGGATGGTTTCGATAGGATGGCAAGAAATAGGTAACAGCAGTGACGGGATTTACAGCAGCCCAGAAGAGTAAGTACTACATTGGTTAGTGGGTTATTATACGAGAGACGGGAGGGTCATATGGTTGGTACCTTGAGCTGGAATCCAACATCAGATGGTAGTTCGCCTCCCAATAGTATGGGGAGAGCCTCGGGATCTGAGATAGCCTTGGCCGGGAAATTTAACAACAGCCAGCGAACTTCATTATGCACGGCTGGGATCGAAAATCGACTGACTAGCTCTATTGCTAGAGAAGGATGTTCGGCCCACGCTAAGCGAACAAGTGGTTTGAGTGTAGACTTGCGAATTAGCTTTCTATGCCTCATTAATTTAAATGGCCATAAACCTACTTCGAGTGCCGTCCCAGTACGGTGCGTTAGATGTGGCCGTTGGTGGTTTTCGCCGAGTGGGTGAACCCAAACATTTAATCTAGTCTGTTCACTCTCGAGCAGAACTTGAAACAATGTCTCCTTTTGGGTAAGGGCCCTGAAGTTGCCGATGGCCTGGGCTCCGACGTAAGAGACCGTCTTGAGAGCACTCAAGACATCAGTAATCAAGCGCACTTCGGTCTTCAACTGAAGAATATTGCTGCCGAAGGACCATTTGGGTGCGAACTTGAACCAACTCAATCCCGCTGATAGAATCTTGTCTTTGAGTCGCCATTGAACCAATGGACGGACAGCGGTGCTCACTCTTAGCACTCTTAAGCTAAAAAGAACGATTCTTAGGCGAATCTCTCTGGCCATTGGGTGAGAGATAGAGTTCTTCAGAGCATCGAGTGTCGAGTCAAGCATACGGATAAAGATTCTATGCATATCCGGGCTACCCAGTCGGGTAGCATTGAAGTGGCTGCTAAAAAATTGTATCAGACGAGTATGCGGAGCAAGCATACTATGTACCTGCTGCCGACGCCTCGCAAGGCCTTCGTTATCGCTTGGAGCGAATTCCTCTTTAAGGAAGAACGGATCCGGGTGCCTGACAATATTAGTATTGATACGCATAGTCTCGGGGCCTATCTTACATCAGAGTAGGGTTGAACAACCCAAGTTTATTGTGAATGGCGATTTCCCATTGTTGCGCGATCTCAGCAAGTATTCGAGACTCCATCCTGGGATTCTCGTTTATGACGCCCAGCCAAAGAGATACACCAAAATTGATGGACTCTTTGGTAAATATTTTGAAGGGAATGCTGACAAGGTAATGTGTAATAGCACTCTCATCCCTCCCACTGCGGCAGAGTAGAGCTGCCGCTCGTCGGAGGATATCTCTCACGTCGTGGAGAGGTGTGACCTTCTTGCCGGTAAGACGGGATCCCACGTGGGCCAACGCCATAACAGCGTCAGCACGATCAGATGGGGCAGATCTAATGAACGAGTCTCGTCGCGTCATGGGCATGGAACTTATTAAATCTTTGCTATGGCTGGGTAGTGCTTCGCCGTACCTATATTCCTGACGGGTTGTGTACTGAGCAACAAAATGAGATGCCGTGTTTATTGCGGTCTGGCCAACAGGGTCCAGAGAAGTTAATCTCTGATCCGTTGCCGGAATTGAGGAGCCCATTTCCACGGCAAAGGACCGGCCAAGCGACATATGCCCATACGCTCCCTCGTCTTCAAACTCGGACAAGTAGGTCTGAAGCAAGCCCTTCACATCAGAAGGAGCTAGATTGACTGCCATTGAGACCCACGATTTAGCTTTCATGTAGAGATTATTAAGCGTAGCCTTTCTGAAAGTATAGTCGTCGGAAAGTTCGACAGTGACGTTTCCCAAGCGAGATGTGAACACCGACCGTGGATCATACATTTCTGTCTCAGCTTCGAGGCAACTTATCCACATAAGAGACAATAGCTCGAGGAGAGCAAAAAGCGACGATTTTTGACAGAGAGATGACGGAATCTCACGAATGAACTTGTCAGCGCAATAGAACGCAGATTGCTGAACACGTTGAATACGGTGACAACACCCGCAGAAAATTGCCGCGAGTTGAGAAGCCGCATAGAGGGCTGAAAAAGTCGGCAGCTTTGCTTCCAGAGTCTTTGACAAATATCTCTCCATCACAACAGTCGTAATACCTTCCATAACACCGCGTATATCTTCATTGCGCATGCTAGGTTCCAAGAAGTACGAGAGGGTCTTGGTACAATCTCCGGAATCAGCCCTCAAACTTTCAACCAAATACGCGGCATGCAAGAACATAACTTTCCTGTAACTCAGGCTCTTTATCTGTGCGATTCTCGAGGGCACGAGTTCTGTAAGCTGCCTCTTTTGTTTTGCCTCCCGATCTGAAGTGTTGGCTCGACGAAGGACAGTGTTGAGCTCGATGTCACTCTCAACCTGTTCCCCTCGTTGTTCGGCCACTAGGGGTGGTGAGTGGATAGCCATGATGCGCAGTTCGTTAATATACTCCTTGCCCCTATCTGTCAGAGACGTAAAGCCATGTACCACAATATTAAACCAGACATCTCGAATGAGAGAATGTCTATCATCATCTTGGCCGGGAAGCTCGGTGGTAAGTTCATGCCTCGACATTAGGATTGCAAGGGGTTGGAGGAGCTGAGCAATTTCGCGGGCTGCAAACTCGACGTCAGATTCCTTCATATGCTGAGACTGGTGTATATCTCCCTTGGAGATCAATTCCTCCAGTATTTGGTCCCAGTAGATGTCATATAGCGGAGAATCATGCTTCACATTCTCCGATATGTAATTTCGAGCTTTCTTAACCTGTAGACATTCGTTAGCAACCCGTTGTAAACACATATAAGTGTAAGTCTTACGGCATCAAGAATGATAGCGTTATCTTCAGCACACGCATTATGACAGAGCTTAGAATACAATCTAAGAAGAGATCTGAACTCCAGCTGCCCTCCATTTAGAGACAGGACACTTGCTCCAACAACGATGTGGCAGTCGACCGACTGATTGACCTTGGTTAACTTTTGCAAGAGCATTGCCTGTGCGAGAGCTGTGATCTTTTCATCATCGCACATTTCTGCAATGCTGCATATCGCTTGGACGATATTCGCGTATACCAATGTAGTGTCTTCGTCCCCATGAAGTTGGAGCGATATATCACTACCCGTCGATTGTCTGCTTTGGTACACGCTTGTCAACCCACCGAACTCGCCAGCAGATCCATTTGGAGCATTATGATCCGCATCTGGGCTTAGCACATTTCCAAGGGTGTATAGCGTGGTAATAACCGCATCTTGGGATAGTAGACGTAAAGTAAAAGCCAATGACTTTGACGCAGTAGCAACGATACCGCTAGAGGGCGTAGTCCGCACGATAAAACGCGGCAGTAGTCGAACCACAGTAGGAGCAAAGTTCGGCGAGATTTTAGAAAGTATAGCCATCGAACGAAACACAGTTGATGCCAACGTCTCGTCTGCCATTTGCATTGGATTATCCAAAGACTCCTGTAGCCAGCCCATGAGAAGCTCAGAGTCCGCCGCATCCTCGTGCAATATAGAGCAGTTCAAGTAACTAATGACCACGGCAGCTTTGACAGCACAAGCTAATCTCTGCTGGGCGGATGAACCGAGCTCAATGAAATCAGCACTTGCTTCGAGGCGGTCCATCTCCTCCTGCGCGATGCTCGCATATAGCTCAATTGACTGAAAATCGGGATCCGGACTACTTGTAGAGCCTAGCTTTGACATGCCATCCTTAGACATGAATAAATCGAGGATATGAGAGGTTCTGAGAAGCTTGACATCCGCGATTAAAAGCGAAGTAGCAGAGACTAAGAGCCACATGAAGCTCCTCTGAAGCAGCATAGAACCTAAAGGTCGTCCCTGGTTAGCGTAATGACGGAGGATTCTCTTCCAGTCCTTAGCGTTACGGTCCGATATATGGGCGTTCCGAATAGTAGAAAATGCAGCATCGACGGCAGTTAAGAAAGATTCGGAAAGCAGGTTGCTGATCTTCCTAATAAGAGCCAATCTTCCACCACTCCTCCAGAAATTAGCCTGAGCAGAAGCAGCATCAAGAAAACCCAGCAAAGAAATAGCCACAGTTGCAATATGGATGGCATCATCTAAATTTGGTTGAGCATCTCCGTTTAGTTTCAGTGGAACTGTGCCCTTTACAGTCGTAGACATTGCAGCCAGGAGAGCCCAAATATTGTCAGACACGGTCTCATGTAAGTCATCGTAGTTGTTCCCTAACGAGAGTAGAGCGGCGGTGACGTGTGAGGCTAAGGCCTCGATAGGGGACGGTTCGATCTTGCTGAAAGCGGGCGAGGGGAGAAAAGTCTGAGCATGTGCCTCGAGGATGTAGGGTATCAATTGGCTAGCTAGCTTCTGAGCACTTTGGCCGCTCTGGACCATCGGTGCGGCTTTGCAGAGGGAAACGAGTACTTCAAATTCACGTATAGTCTTAAGATATTCAGTTAGCTACTCTGACAACCATTTGTCTCTTCATGTTTCGAGGTACTTTACCATAGGAACACGAGCCAATGAGGATGGATAACCCCTAGCTGAGCCATTGGCACCTTCTTTCCCCCTCCCACGGATGTTTGTAGCTCTACATAGTCGATCGAGGTCGGATTTGTCAAAGGAGATGGTGGAACTCGTGGCCGAAAGTAGAGCAATCTTCTGCAGCGCCTGCTGGCGGATATTGCGTGCCATTTTCGAGTACGATATTATCTAGAAAGAAAAGCAACGCAAACCATTACAGTGGCTTCTGAACGAGAGTGTGATACAGATGAAATGTTTACACAGGGCTACAACAAGACCAACGTTTGGCCAAAAGGAGTGATTGTCGCAAAAGCGGTACAATTAAATTGATGATGCAGATGGCAGTCTCTGTTTCCCCTATCTACATGTACATAGTAAAAATTAGGTGGATCCATCCCCCACTAGTGCTATGAGGTATTGAAGTATGTAGGTACCTACATATTGAAGTAGCAATTGACTTAGTCATCAAGAGCTACCCCTGTCGAGGTGGGCTAGCCAGAGTTCAGCCAGCCCGTCAGCCCGCAAGGCTGCAAGCTCGACGCGCGGGCCGTGAATGGAAACCTTATCATCATCATCATCATCATCATCATCATCATCATCATCAAAGCTCAACTTCAGCCCATTAAACAATCCACCACGTCAGACCACCCGCATTCAACTCTATAATCATAACGGCCGATAAATACCTACACATAGCACCATCCGGATAATACAACAGCGACAATTACCAAGATGGCCATGTTCAGCCAGAACCCCGTCCTGAACGGGCCCAACTACTCGTTTGCCGAAGTTCCTAAAGATGCCATCGATGGTTTGCGGGAACACCGTTTTAACCCGTAAGATATTTCAACATTCTCAGATTTTGCTCGCTCAACCCTTCTCCTCTAAGATGCTTAATCTGACTTTCCACGTCGCAGATACACCGACAACGGCGGTTCCACTCTCGCCATCGCCGGCGCCGACTTCGCCATCATGGCCGGTGATACCCGTCTGACGTCAGGCTACAGCATCAACACGCGGTACTCGCCCAAGGTATTCAAGATTGGTGGATCCAACTCGTCGCAGGACGATGCCAACATCCTGCTGTCCGTGGTCGGGTTCGCGGCAGACGGCGAGGCTCTAAAAGAGCGACTCGACGCTATTTGCAAAATGTACCGGTACCGCCACGGCAAGCCCATGTCCGTCAACGCCTGCGCCAAGCGCCTATCTACCATCATGTACCAGAAGCGCTTCTTCCCATACTACGTCTACGCCATCCTAGGCGGCATCGACGAGGAGGGCAAGGGCGCCGTATACAGCTACGACCCTGTCGGCAGCTACGAGCGTGAGCAGTGCCGAGCTGGCGGTGCTGCAGGTAGTCTAATTATGCCCTTCCTCGACAACCAGGTCAACTTCAAGAACCAGTATGTGCCTGAAAGCGGCACCGGGCACGACCTACAGGAACGAGAGCGCGTGCCGCTACCGAGGGATGAGGTGGAAATACTAGTGAAGGATGCCTTCGACTCGGCGGTTGAGCGTCATATCGAAGTCGGTGATGCGCTGCAGGTGGTCATCATTACCAAGGACGGAATCGAGGAGAAGGTTCTGCCACTAAAGAAGGATTAAGGGGTTGCCAGTGATCCGATTACAAGCGGCTGTGTACTATATCGTAGGCAACGGAGTTCCCTGATGTTTAAATACATCATAACTGACTACTGACATTCTCGAGTATGGTCAACCCAGTTTCACGATGCCGATATGCCAACGCCAAAATGTGTGACGACTATAGTATTAGGTAGTTTGCTCAGAGTCTATTATAGCTAGTCAATAGCACCAGCTCTCATCGTAATAGTCCTGGTCTAACCCTTTAAGTATTAATATGCTTAAGTTTCAACCCTTCCAAGCTATGAAGTAGTCTCTATTTGCCTTATATTGCCTACCCCAGATTCGCCCGTAATAATATAATATACCAGTGGCTCCAATTCGTATTTATCTTAATATTACTATGAACGTTACAGTTATCTAACATTCAAGTATGAGAGGTAGGTGAGATGGAACTCTCAGCTACAATGTATACCCTCCAGCTTATGCTGATTCATATGCCAATTCATACCGTGTCACCCATGAGAAGATATTCGTTGAATATTCACTAGCCTTTGATCTATCTGTTCTCTATCTGTTCGTCCCTTCTCGTCCCGCCCGAGTACCTAGTTCCATCAGCTCGGTGACCACGCCCCGAAGTGCGAACAGGACACAAAAGAAAAAGTATAAATTACAAAAAATGTTGTTGGTCCGAGCGATGAGGGGCCTTCCTCATAAGGTAAGACATCTGCTCTTTATTGCGTTTTGATGGAACATATCCCAGTGCCAGATTTGTGGAGTAAAAATTGTGTCAAGTTCATACTTCAGAATATACATTGCATATTTTGATTGCAATGTGTTTATGCCATAGTATCGTGTCCTTCCCCTATGTACAGCATTGTCTTTAAGACACCCTTTCTAAAGTTGTAGTTATTAAAATATACCTTTGCAGTTAGTTTTTGAGATCTCCCCCTGAAAAGGAAATTGTATTCATTTTGATTAAGGTCTTCATATTCACAGACGTCTTAAAACCCCATTGGTTTATAGAGAGAAATATGTATAGTAGTTTCCAGCGTCAATTAATCCCAGAAGCGCCAACTTACTTGCAGCTCTGTACAACGCATAACAGTTACTAAAATATACATTCGTAGAGCCGGACCCGGCCCGGCTCCGAGTCTTATTAATGCGGAAATACATCTGAGATCCTCATCTTCAAACGGCCTATACCAAACAAAAGCATGAGATGAAACATGACCATGAACTGATCAGTGCAGCACCTACCGCATAAACACGAGGGCTAGAAGAGTCGTTGAGATCCGGTGCGACGATGCATTTCGGTCCATACGATAGGTGGCCGGCGGATCCCGCGTAGCGATTGGCGGACCGTGATCCCGTTATGTCAGCTGACCGGACCACTCCCGAATACCGGGAAAGTCATGCCACTGTCCGCCCAGAGACAACAACACATGACAAATTACTCGGCCCCGGAGGTCCTCCGACTTTTCCTCGTATTTAGAGACTATCGCTACGGACCGCTCCTGTTGGAACGCGTTGAGCCAACTCACCTAAGTCGATGTGAAGAGTAAAGTCTGAGACAAAGGGGGTCTAACGCGTATTCGCAGAGGGGAATTCTCGACCCGGTAAGACGGTACCAGCAGATCAGGTAGCAAGGCAACCCGATCAAAATTACTGCAGATTCGTTTTTTTGCACGGCTACGTGGAAATCCTGCAGATCAATACCTCTGGACTTGTATAGTCCCGAAGTCGCCCTTTTCGGCCCTACCTAGAAGATACGCAGGTCGCATAACTTCAAACTTATCTTAGCCCTTCACGTAGTTTACCATGAGCCGGGATCAACTTAAGCTTATTCATATAACTCTTCGGGGGGCAGTCCGAACTGGGATTAAATGAAATGATTTTGTTAGCCCAAGAACGGGATGCCAGTGCCATAGTACATAGGAGCTACGGTAATCAATTCGCCTATGCGAAACCACTAGTTAGCCTCCGTAGCTAATGAATGTATCTCGTTAGTGGTCGCGTTAGGCTCTTGAGTGACAATATTAGCTTCTACCAAATTTTGTACGAGAGCCCTATAGAAAATCAACCGTTGAGTCGCCACAATAAGCCGTCTGATGCGGCCGACCATGCAGTAACCATGCAGTATTGTTTTGCCGGGATAAGCTTAACTGGATGAGCTCTAACCTCTACCGGCCTGCTAGCTTAGCTTTTAAGCGCTTGGTTAACTAGAACAAGGTTGCGGCCCTGTGGCTGATGATCAAGTAACGTAAACATCCAGGTGTATCCCAGACGAACGGGAAAGCCGTCTTACGCCACATTATCTAGATGTCAAATCCATGTCAGGAGTCGAAGCGCTTGTTTTAGCTTGCATCACAAGTGTGCTTCGCCTGAGCCTCCCCCACGATTTACATACCAATCACAGTTGGTTCTACGTGGTTGTTTGTTAATTTCCGCGGCTCGAGCTTCTTTCCGGAGTAAGTTAGAACCGGCTCGTCGCCCAAGATGGCTTTGGAGTTAAGGCTAGCAAGATGGAGAAAGGCGAAACAGCAAAGGTATCGACTCTAGAAGAGTTCGAAAAAATAAGAATTAGACATTTTTCAAATGTAATCCAAAAATAGCAACCCATGTAGATTTTAGAGATACATAGTACGTTAAGATAAATCATGGTGTTTTGCTACCAGTGATAATTGCTACCAGTGATAATACAGCTAAAACTGGCACTTAGAATTGTTTTACATAGGTCCCTAGGTAGGCATCTAATCAATCACTAATAAAGCGCACCTCGCACCATCAAAACTGTTCCTGAATAGCTACTTAGGCTGTTAAGATGGGCTGCTAGAATGTCTGCGCTACCGCTCGCCACATTGTTCGGAGCGGAGAGATAGTCACAAGCTAAAGTCACCAGCTAATAGAGAAAGCGAGGCGAATATTGATGGCTAGTGAAGCAGCAAGGCCATCTACTTTTGCCCTAAGGTGCGGTAGAAGACACCATGGAATGTTCCGAGGCCTCCCAAAGTATCTTACCCGTCGAGGCGAGCTTACGAATCTAATCAACTTGGGCCAAAAGTTTGACAATCCATCAAACTTCAAAAGCGATATATTGTAGTGAAGCATCAGGAGACTTCCATGTTGTGGATCACTTCCCAAATCGGGCCATGTCGAGCTCGTATTTTACTACATACAATTAAACACTAAGATCTACCAGATACCTAGGTGCGTAGGTTCCAGTCGGCTGGTCACTAGAGAGTGCGTATGTTTTGGGCGTATTTGGACTGCATAATCCAGTGGCAAGGATGATCACTTACGAAGAAATCATGAGGGCAAAGGGATTAGAGGAAAATATATACCAAAGCAGGAAAGTGAGGCTGAGTAGTGTAACAAAATAGGGCAATCAGGCTGGTATCGGCATATTATTCTGGCAACCGTTCTTGTAGATCTTACGGACTGTACGGAGCAGATCACATGCGAAGCATTGCTGCAACGTTACCGTTTTAAGTAACGTACGTTAGGTACCTCTTAGGCGTATAACCAAGTAACACAACCCACCAGGTGTTCGTGTAAACCCAAATCTACGGTATTGAATAACAAAGATGTTATGTATTTATGTACAACTTTGTATGCGTCTTCAGCTTTTCACTTAGTTACAGCAGCAATCTTACAGCTTATTTTAGATTTAGTTAGATATCTCTTTTGAAGTTCTGGAACCGGCTGGTAGCACAAAGTAATCTCCGCCCGGAGCGAAACTTCCGTAGAAGAATTACGTCTTATGTACAGTCTAAAAGAGGCACTTATATGTTTCGATGAAAGAGTACCTATTCTCAATTATCACGAGGGGGGGTGGGGGAGTTAGGTTAAGCCGTCTTTTACTTTTTAGCAACTACCTAGTGTAAGTGAGGAATCAAGATCCTGGAAAAGCTCAAGTGCTATACTACAGCTGCGAATTGAGTACCCTAGGTACCTAGGTAGCCTAGGGTAAAAGCAATTACTAAGTGGGAACAACTGGAACATTCGCAACGGCGTCGAACATATTCATACAACTGTGGCGCTGCCAGTAATATTCACAGTTATACCGAACCCAGTTCAATCCTTTACGTGGCAGGCGCCTCGATGGATACCTAACTGGGTATCAGCTAATAAGCTGATGCTTGTAATAACGCGCATAGCTGCAGGATGCATAAGGGGCTAATAGCATGTTCATCACTAAAGATAAGCTAATTATCTGTAGGTAGTAACCGGTGACCCTTCAATGTATGTAATACATAGGAGGTAGGTAGTATAAGGAAATATATGGATATCAGAATTAACGGATTATGGTATAGAGCAGGAAGCGTGGCGAATACCGTAGATGTACGTAAATAGTCCAAGTTTACGCAGAGGATTAAACGGATTAAGACCGAAAGAAGGCAAAATGGTTGGAATAAGTTAGTTAAAACAACTAGTGTGTAAGTAGGTTAGTTTGCACTAGAGGATAGCGAACTTTATCACGACCGACTTACCGTCTTTTTTTTTTTTTTATAAAAATAAAGATCGAAGTCTGATGCGGAGGCGGCTCCGTCCATGTCATACAAAAGCCACACGTACATACATGCATACGTGTCTGTATACTGTTATATATCTGGCCATGCATATGACCATCATATCCCAACAAGAGGTATTCTAATATACAATGTAAATGTTGAACAGTTGTCGATCATCGTTCGGGTTTATGGCCTGATATGCCGATAGGTTACCTACCTGTATACATGTTATAAGTACATGCTATGCAGTACCTAGGTACATCGGACATAAGTACAATCCGTATATAAATTTGCTTAGTAGATACATCATGCATCATGTAACTAAGGTAATTATGACAATAGACATTGAAAATTGAAAAAAGAAATAAAAATTCAAATCAAATCGGTGTCCACCATGCACTACTAATAAAAGTTCGCCTTAACATCATTGGCGCCCGAAAATCTCAAATCTCAAATCCCGCTCATATGATGCGACGTCACTGTCGCAAAGTTCATAAAGACCAAGTTAAGAAGAATTTCATCATCGACATCATTTGCCCACTAGATCCAGGGATTCTAGGGATCAGCAATCTCCACACCGACCAGGTTGAGGGGGGATGGGAAAACACCAATTTCCCCAATCCCAATTGCGACAATCCGACAGAAAGTCGATTGCGGCTCAGTCCGAGGTCTGGGCTCCTATTTCATCATTCTAACTACCAGGCTTGCCGATCAGATTCGCAGATCTTCATCCTCCACCATTAACCTGGCAAGGAACATCGATCACACGGGCCACAACATGCAACAGCACCACAACAGCAATTGTATCCAAGGAATGTAGCTTAGCACGCATCAAGCTACTTACATACCAGCATACCAA